GTCACTTATTGTTCAAAATTTATGGAGAAAATGCATGGCCGGGTTATCGACCCTTTTCGCTGTTTCTGAGTTTATTAATAAACCCAATAAATGCGGCAAGCTTGCCACCAAAATAAATTCATTTCTAAATGCATTTTTCACGATTAAAATAAAATTTATGGAAAATTTAACTTTTGAATGCATTTTATTTAAATACAGTCGTTAAATTTGTTATTTACGATTAAAATGTTTTTGTTTATTTTGGTACACTGCTTGTCAAAGAAAAAACTTTTTTCGGCTGTACCTACATTGTGGGGAGTTGATTTTATACTTGATGCTAAATAGCGATCGGTACCATTTTCAGAAACAAAATTTACTTTGTCATTTTATTAGGTACATTTGATTTAAAAAACAGACAATTTTTCAACTGATTGTATAACTATTTTTTACTTTATGCAAAAGGCACTATACAGGGTGATCCACCTAACTTATTCATTAGAACTTTATGGAGAACGGAAAAAGTTATCGATTTGAAATTTGTAAACTTTTTTAAAATTATTTTATCTATTTTGCGTTCATAATGACTTCATTATAACACTTTCGGTGCTGTATGATATACTTTATCCCACCCAAAATTGGTTGGCTATACTTTAAACAGCATAATATTTTGCATATTGGTTATAATATTTGTATGATTTTACTAGTAGAGACTTTTCTGGCAATCAATTTTCTTCTTTAACATTAACAGCCGCTTATTGTAAATGGCGAATCGATTTTGACATTAACTGTCATACCAATGACACCAACTATCTAAAGTAAAATTTGACCAAATTAAATTTAAGGTATAAAATTAATTTTTTTTATAGAATTTTTGCAAAATAGCATAAAGAACTCATGTCATAAGACCTTTTGTCGCACTCGTCCGCGTGCGACAAAATGACGTCTTATGACATTAGTTCCTTAATATACTATTCAATGCGTTATCACTTCCGGTTGAAGTGATATCAAATTTGGTTTTTCAAATGGAACCATTAAAATATTATTGCATTTATAATTCTACGTAAAATTCTAGAAATACTAAAATTTGGTTTTGTTTTATATTTTTAACAGTTTTTGAGATATTTAATTTTTTTAAATTTTGACAGATGAATGTTCTTACCAATATGTCTGTATTACCACTAATTGTAATGTTAAAAAGTTAATTTTTTGTGTTCCTGTTAACTAAGGAGCCCCCTAATCATTAAAAAAATAACAATACAATTTTTTTAAAATAATTTTCCTACTTTAATATCACTTGTCGTAATCCAGTGTTGCCGTATCTTCTAGACAAAATTGTCAAAATTCACAACACAGTTTAGCAATAACAAACGATAACATCCCGTGTAGTCTTAGCAAATTAAATAATTTTTACTCGGTAACCAGACGGTCAGTTTTTTTAATCCAAGAGCTTAATTATAAATATATACAGGGTGGCCGATTTATCTGAAGACATTGAAATATTTCGAAAACTATGCATCGGATCAAAAAAAGTTTTGAATAAAATTTGTTCGCCTGGAAGGGGGACATCCAATGATACCAAAGTCGACCCCTCACCACCACCCCATGGGGTGGGGGTGGGGGCAACTTTAATATTCTAAATAGGAACCCCCATTTTTTATTGCAGATTCGGATTTACTATTAAAAAATAAGTAACTTTTATGGAAAAACTTTTTTTTTAAATTCCTGATAGATGGCGCTGTAATCGCGATTTTTGGGAATATCTTGAAAAATTGCAGATTCGGATTTCCCATTAAAAAATATAATTAGTGTATACGAGAATTGTAAGGGAATTCAAAATAAATTAAATTAATTAATTCCTTTTGATGTTCCCATGTTCCCATGGCCATGGGGTGGGGGTGGGGGCAACTTTAATATTCTAAATAGGAACCCCCATTTTTTATTGCAGATTCGGATTTACTATTAAAAAATAAGTAACTTTTATGGAAAAACTTTTTTTAAATTCCTGATAGATGGCGCTGTAATCGCAATTTTTGGGAATATCTTGAAAAATTGCAGATTCGGATTTCCCATTCTTGGGTAATTTTAAAAATAGATGTTAACTTATTGATATACGAATAAAATCCAAAAATTAAACAAGTTTTTCTTTTTTTCGATCCGATGTGTAATTTTTTAAGATATTCCCAAAAATCGGGTTTCTTGCGATTACAGCGCCATCTATCAGGAATTTAAAAAAAGTTTTTCCATAAAAGTTACTTATTTTTTAATAGTAAATCCGAATCTGCAATAAAAAATGGGGGTTCCTATTTAGAATATTAAAGTTGCCCCCACCCCCACCCCATGGGGTGGTGGTGAGGGGTCGACTTTGGTATCATTGGATGTCCCCCTTCCAGGCGAACAAATTTTATTCAAAACTTTTTTTGATCCGATGCGTAGTTTTCGAAATATTTCAATGTCTTCAGATAAATCGGCCACCCTGTATATTTATAATACAAAATCTATTGATTTTATATTAAGACATCTAGAATTTCGAATGGTTATATAAAATAGATTTGCATGCACAAAAGGTGTGTAATATGCTGTAGGACATGATACCAAAACGCAAAATTGTAATGAATACCTACCCACGATGTGTATAGCTTCTTGAATAAGAAACCAAATCCGCATTATGCATCTTGGCATTAATTGTATAAACTGAGAATGGAAAATAAAGTCACAATGCAAAGAAGTCGTCTTTAAACAAATTCACACGATATCAAATAATTACTGGTAATTTAGAAGATGTATCTTTACCAAACAAGTCTGGACCACAACGTGCAATAAATAATCATGTGTTTACATTTTTCATGTTTGCACCTGTTTGATAACCTAGAACAAGGCAAAGACGTTCTTCAAAATTAAATAAATTATGTACCGAGATGATTCACACATAAGCTTTATAAACATAAAAGCGTTTCTGAATAAAAACGTCTAGACTAAACAGCGTTATTTAATTTCCTCGATGTAACAAAAAATAAAAACAAAGGAATAGAGAAACAATTGAAAGATAGAGTGCGCGAGACGGGGATAGAGCGCAGTTTAATTCCGATGCCGAATGAAATTGTTAACGGTTAATGACACCGGCCCATATGATCCAGACGGGGCCCGACTTTTTATTCCTTTGGAACGAGCAGTTAACGAACCTTTAACAATTTCGGAGGCTGTGTGTAATAGGTACGTACAGGTGCACTGCCCCCCCGCCATTCGATTACTTTATCGACTGTAAATTTCTACCGGATTAAAGTACAAAAAATTACATGCAACCAAACATCAACACAGCGCGAATAAGCACTATAAAATGAAAATTGGTTAACATTTTTCACTCACTATTTAATTTTTTTATTTTAATTTTGTTAAATTAAATTGACCCTATATGAGGACCCTAAAAGCCAAGGGATACAAAGGATACAAGTGACATTTAAAAAAAAGTAGTTATGTACTTAAAAATATATTAAATGGTACATTTTACTTGGTATACAAGGGATATAACTGAATTCTAAGCTTAGACATCTTGAAAAATAAAGTCATAAAACAACAAACAATTTTGACTTCAAATTACAAGTGTTTTTTTTACTTTAAACATGATTATCTCAAAACTAACCAAAATGTAAAATATCTTGGAGAAAATTAAACCATTTTCATTCGATATTATTTAAAAGATATTCTGAACCTATACATATAGGGTTTATTTACCATTTAATTTTTCTTACTTTTTTACTAAAACTTACAGTATATTTGTTATTAACTGAATTTTTATATTATAAGATCATACAAATTTGTTAAAACATTAAAATGTATAATATGTTCAACATAAAAAATCCCACTGACATTTAAATAAGGAATGCATTCGAATAATTAAGGTTATGTTTCTCAATTTAATGTAAATTTCGTGTTATTTTATAAAAATAATACAATACATTTATTTATCTCCACGCGGTCTATAATTTAAACTTTATTGTTATGGCCTAGGCCTATAAAAAATTTTATGAGGCAAGTAGGTAATTAGTTCGATTTTTTCTCGCTAGGGGTATTGTTTTGACAAATTAAACCTTTTTCTAAGAAATTTACGTACTAAACTGGTTTAATTTATTTATAATAAGCACTAATTTGTTTTTTTCCTGTTAATGTTTAATATTTTTCATTAAATTATTGTTAAATTAAATATGAATAATAAAACAAAAAGTGAGGTTAGGCAACCAAGAAAACGCACGATTCTTTTTCTACGATTTAAATTATCTTTAAGTTTTAATTTTCTTTAAGTTTTCAGTGAAATTAAATGTTAAACACAGCTTAAACATTCCAAACTACCTATTTTTTTTTTTAATCCAAACAAATTGAGATTAGATACATACCTATTTATTAAACAATTAATTGAATTCAATGTAATAGCAAAAATCCATTTCTATTTTCTAGGTATCTAGGTATTGTCAAACTATTACTGCTTTTAAAAGCAATAATAATTATTGTACATTTAATGTAATCTTTAGCTAATAAATAAAGGTATAAATGAGATTCTAAAAAAGTGAGGTTAGGCTGCTTTGTTGTTGAATTAAATTGACCTATATAAAGTGCTTTGAAGATAAAATGTTGTATGCCATTCGGCCAAGAAGTGCCTTTTTGTGCTTCGCTTAATTGTAGGCCTCCGCTACGCGTCGGCCTTCAAACCTTGAGCTTAGCACAAAAAGCCTTACTTCTTAACCTAATGACATAAATAACTATTATATATTAGTTTAGTAAATTATTTTTCCATGGTATACATTCAGGGTTGCTATGATTTGTCCATATTTGTTGTAAAATAATAATATTCTATCAGCGACAACTGCCATTATATTTAAATTTACCGCGATCTCCTGTGTAAACCGGTCTTGTTTTGCAGCGACATCTACTCCATTCTTAAATGAAGGGTTTAAATTCGATATTATATTATAATAATATTTTTTGTGTTTATGTTTTTGTTTATTTGTTAAAAATTTCTTTGTTTTTAGATCGGATGGCACCGAATCTCCCATACTAGAGGAACAAGAGAGTGCCAATTCAGATAAACCAAAACAAATAGTCAAATACGGAGAACTAGTCATATTAGGGTAAGTGACAACCTACATATAATGTCAAACGTCAATTTGACTTTATAGTTTTTTGACCTAGGACTCAGTCATAGGTCAAAAAACTATAAGGACTGTAAACAACTAATAAGTAAAACTGTTTATTTTTAACATTTAAAAAACGATACCTAAGTATGGTAATTATAGAATGTCTTCAAAATGTATATATGATTTTCTGAGGCACATTCACAAATAATATCAGACTTTTTTACATCACAGATTCCATGAAAATAATTTTTAACGTCTACATGACAACATTAATTTTTTGTCAACCCATTAGGCATTCACGTTCAATATAATAAAAACCACACCAATAAAAAAGGTTACAATAGATTGCCTTTGACTTTGAGGCATAAATAACCAGAGAGCGAATTTTTTCTTATAGGGTTTCTCCGTACAGTGTGTGAACGAGTCTGACAGTTTCTTTTGCCGTTGTAAGTTTTCTTCTCGGCTCGTTAATGCATTAATTATAAATCAAACGAACAAAAGCTGTTCATTTATTATATTTATAAAGAAAAACAAAAAAATTCTTATAAAGACTATAAATTTAATATACAGAAACGTAGTTTATTACCTATAAATACCTATAGTCCGTTCATGTAATAAAAAAATGTTTAACAGTATTTTTAGTGGAATCTCCCCTTTTAACCAATAGTCACACACAGTATTTTATTCAACTACCGCAATGAATTCAAAGACAATTTTATTTGATATTTAACTGACGGCTGAAAATTTAAGCAGTAGGTGTTAATAAAAACTTTTATTACTAGTTTTTCTTTAGTCTATATATACAATTATAATATTATTTGATGCATGATTTGTTAAATGTTTATAAATTTACAGTTATTTTAATGATATAAATATTGTGTTACCTAGAAATTCCTAAGTTCATTATTTATTTATTTTAATTACAATTGCATGTGTAAATATAATTATTTTTATAAAATTATCTGGCAATAAATAATCAAAATAAAAAAGTATAGGTAACCAATTCGTTAATAATTTATTGTCTATATAAATATATTTATATATTTATAACAATATATTGTTTCTAAAAACTCATTCCTGGAAATATGTTTAAAAATATTTCTTGATACCTACAGTATTACATATAAAACAAAAGTGTATATTTTATATACCAACAGCTACGTGTGACTAATCGTGTGACAAGAAAATACTAATGTGATGATAAAAAGCGCATTATCTCGCATTAAAAAGCATTAACTTGGTTTAAAGTATTCCTTAACTGTATTTTTTTATATTTTTTTATTGAAAGTACATTTTTATTATACCTCTCTAAAATGGGTAGTTAGGTACTATACAGGGTGTTTCACATTCGTGGTCCATTAGAAGTTTCTGGGGAACAAAAAGAGATATTGTTTTGAAATTTTAAAAGCGTTAAAGTCTATTTTTCCAAAATATAATAACAAAGTAGTAAATTAAAACACCTTTCTTTTGATGTTTATATTCCCTATACCTAAAGTTAATAATTTCAGATAAATTTAACTATTTCTAAAATTTTAAATATTATTTTTTATCAAGAAACCTGTGACGGGTGAGTTGACGGTATCTATGGTTACCACGTAATCTCATTCATTGTTCAAAATTTATTGGCGTGAATTTTTCAGGTTGTTATAAACAATTTGTTGACTTATAGTAAACAATATTGCTGATAAAAAATAGCAGTCAGTGGCTTATAAAACACCTTGACAATCCAAACATTTTAAAAATTTAAAAGTTATGCGCTAAAGAAGTATCGGGTTTTCGCAACGCGCGCGCTATCTGGTGGACTTCGATAGCACTACGTGAATTTAAGAATTGTCAACAATACATTTAAAGCATACGAACTGTACATCATTTTTAAATAAATTGGTAGTTTTTTCACAAAAGAGAGGAAGAGAGCAAGACAAATTTTGTTCAATTGCACAGCTAAATCGCGCACGTTATTTGTGTTTTACGTTGAAAGGAAAAAATTAAAAAACTTTTTAGTACTCGATTTACATTGATTATTCTTTATTGATTAGGAAACTCAACGCTTAAATGCTTATATAGTTACGTTAGTGTGTGTATTTTATCTAAGGGATCATGGTGAATTATTGTGTTTTTAATTGTAAATAAAATTGAAGAACTAAATCGTTGCATTTTCATGTTTTGCCAAAGGATCCAATTCGGTAAGTACATTTGTTGGTGCAGATAACTAATGATAACTTAACCAAATATAATTTATATTTAAGTTTTGACATTTTTAAGAAATTTGTAAAAAATAATTTTTGCACACCTTACAATCAACTATTTTTATATTTGAGTTCACTAAAAAACGCCGACAAATGCATTTTAAACAACAAAATACACCTACGAATTCATGGCAACATAATATATATAATACATACATAGATAATATATGTAATGGTTTTTTACCGTTGAGTGGAGACTTTCTTAATCAACGCTTTTAATAATGCTGTTTAAATTTAGACGACTCATTTGTTTGACGATTTTCACTGAATTAAAATGTTTAAACTTTTTACGTTAATCATTACTAAAATGTGTAATTATTATATCTAATAGATTCAATTTATATTTAGAGGGACTGTATAAAATTTATTTCTTCATTCGGATTAACACTGTTTATTGGAAAACCGATAAAAACTCAACCCAGGATTTCCTCTCGAAATACACCCAACAACACAACAAATCGTGCCACGGTTTTTTCCGATATTTTTAACATTTTCCGGCTTTATTCTCAAAAACACTCATTTGTAACGTAAGCGTTTGACAGCTGATTAGGTATTAAAAGGTACTTTTGTTACGATGATAACTGCCAAGTGGTGGCGCTACTAGCGATACTTCTTTAGCGTATAAATACAGTACCTACATATTTGCTAATTAAAAAAAAACTCAACAAACTGTAAAATGTTAACTAATTAAAGCAATAGCTCATTGGAAACAATACAATAAAAAATTTATTTTATGAATTATTTTAATTTACAATTTTTAGTACTAATTTATTACTAAATGTATAAAGTGTCCTCCATTTCCATTCAAGAATTTCTTAATTCTTACATTAGACCTTTCTCTTCTTGTTGGTTTATTAAATTGTTGCAGTTACGCATTTTTTTGTTATTAAAATATTTCATAAAACAAATTTTATATTTTTTTGTATCCAATGAGATAGTGCTTCATCTAGTTTTCTTGTCTATTTTCATATAATTCACTGACTGCTATATTTTATCAGTAATTTTGTTTAAAAAACTTAGTTTGTCAACAATTTTTTTTTATAACAACCTGAAAAGTTTACGCGATTAAATTTTGAACAATGACAGATTACGTGGTAACCATAGATACCGTCAACTCACCCTTCACAGGTTTCTTGATACAAAATAATATTTAAAATTTTAGAAATTCTTAAATATCTTTATATTATTAACTTCTAATGCACCACGAATGTGAACCACCCTGTATATGTTTCTATGTTAACACAATTTTTAAATTTTAAAAATTGTAGGAATATTATAAAATTTATTTTTTTATTTTTAGAGATTTTAAATTTTTTGTTATATACCTATATAGGTACTTTTATATTGCAAATGTGGGCACTGCGTATTATATTTATTTATAAATAGTTATTTATGTATCAAGGCAGTAAAGTCGTAATTTTTATCACGAATGTGGAAATTATTTGCAGAGGCGAAAGCCGAGGCAAATAACCACGTGAGTGATAAAAAATTACTGCCGAGGTGCATATTAAATTTTATCTCCACGCGGTCTATAATTTAAACTTTATTGTCAAAATTCTATAAATAAATACCTTGTTATGGCCTAGGCCGATAAAAAACTTTATGAGGCAAGTAATTAGTTCGATTTTTTCTCGCTAGGGGTATTGTTTTGACAAATTAATCCTTTTCTAAGAAATTAACGTACTAAACTGGTTTAATTTATTTATAATAAGCACTAATTTGTTTGTTTTACTGTTAATGTTTAATATTTTTCATTATATTATTGTAAAATTAAATATGAATAATAAAACAAAAAGTTCGGTTAGGCAACCAAGAAAACGCACGATTCTTTTTCTACGATTTAAATTATCTTTAAGTTTTAATTTGCTTTAAGTTTTCAGTGAAATTAAATGTTAAACACAGCTTAAACATTCCAAACTACCTATTTTTTAAATAAAAATCCAAACAAATTGAAACCTATTTATTAAACAATTGAATTCAATGTAATAGCAAAAATCCATTTCTACTTAAATTATGTTGCTAGGTATTGTCAAACTATTACTGCTTCTAAAAAGCAATAATAATTATTGTACATTTAATGTAATCTTTAGCTAATAAATAAATGAGATTCTAAAAAAGTGAGGTTAGGCCGCTTTGATGTTGAATTAAATTGACCTATGTAAAGTGCTTTGAAGATAAAATGTTGTATGCCATTCGGCCAAGAAGTGCCTTTTTGTGCTTCGCTCAATTGAGCTTAACACAAAAAGCCTTACTTCTTAACCTAATGAGTCATTAGTAATGACATAAATAACTATTATCCGATCCGAATCACATTTGATAAAACTAATTATTACCTATTATTGATGATCAAATCAAATCAAATGTCATTTGAATGTAGGAAGTGTCTACGTATACTGTTTGTTGCGACTGTTATGATATATTTGCCCGCCGCGGCGATTTTTTAATCTAATTAATAAAATTAACTTATTATTTTTGTTAAATAACATTTTATGAAAGGGTCCAATCAACCTCCGCGACGGTGCTTTTTTTTTAAATATTATTTAGTTGCTGCTGAGGAGCAGTAGACACATATTAAAATGTATAATGGGTTGCATAAAATACTCGTATTAAATCGGCAGTAAAGTTCTACTTTACTGCCGATATCGGATAAAAATGTTAACGTGACCGTTTTCTCTCTTACTTCAGGTATAATGGTTTCTTGCCGCAGGGCGACAAGGGCCGAAAGCGCAGCAAGTTCGTCTTGTACAAGCGGCCGAACGCTAACGGAGTGAGACGATCCAGGCATTACGTGGTTCGAACGCCGCACTCCTCTCAAGCGATCCTCGACGCTAATCAGCACTCGATCTCCTACACACTCTCCCGAAATCACGCCGTCATCGTCGAGTACACCAAAGATGACGACACCGACATGTTCCAGGTAAAAGTTTAACCTCGACACCCAAAAGTGTTCAGTAAATTTGTTAATTCATTTTGTGGACGCGTCACGGTATCAATCTATAAAAAATATGCCTGTCTAGTAAAATTTAAAAAAAAATGATTGTTAATATAAAGGTTTTAGTTTTAATACCCCAGGGACATGGTATCTTAAAAGTTACTGAAAACCACCCGTATAAGCATTTTACATTTAACACCAACTGAACGAGTAAAATTTAGGTGATGTTTCATTTTTTTTTTACATAGATTGGTCGGTCTTCGGAGAACGCCATCGATTTCGTGGTTATGGACACGATTCCGGGCGATAAAACCGGCGAGAACAAGGTGATGCAGAGCACGATATCGCGTTTCGCCTGTCGGATACTATGTGATAGAAACAATTCTAAAGTAGCTAGGATATACGCGGCCGGCTTCGACACCTCCAAAAACATCTTCTTGGGCGTAAGTAAAATAAGTCATTTTTTTTTTAGGAAAAACTACGATACACAAAAACCGGTATGACGTCATGTGCGAACTAAAAGCTGGCGGGTACCTGGCTTGGAATGTTATTTGCACTGCAAATTCACGTTATAAATTGACAGAAAGCGCTTTTAACCCAAGCAGCATTTTAAGTTTAAATACCCACAAACGGTTTTATAACGTTATAGATACGAAAAATTACCAAATTTTACCTACATACTAACCTTTTTGATCTACTAAGAGAATAACGTAATAAAAACAATATAAATACCACAAATTTACGTAAAAATAACGCTATAATTACTAACTGTTTGCTCTCTCTTTCTAAAACATTGACATTCGTAATTTCTTTGTTTTTTTTAATTTAAATTTTAAAAAATGGTACTTACAAAGTAATAAAGGCCTAAAGTAAAATTAAAAATTATAGCTTAAATTGTCAAAACTAATAATATTGTGCATTAAAACTGAAACGCACATTATTTTATGATAAAAATAGGCACGATACATATTAAAAATTATATGCCCTATAAATATTTTACGGTTTTAAGAAAAATTATTGCTTGGGTAAAAATACAACAAAACTTTAAACCTACAAAATTTTATAAAATCTTTTAGTTTCAGTCATTTTTTAATGACTAAAACTTTCCTTATTATATTTTAAAAAATATTAAGATAAGTAATGGATGCCATCTTAAAAAACTCATTATGGCAACCTGAAAAAAAAATTTCCTTAAAGTTTTATTTTTCACTTTAAGCTTATTTTTCCTTGTTTAGTCAATATTAATATTATTTATTACCACTAATAACCCTAAAAATACCAGGAGAATAGGTATTATTTACGGTTATAAAGTGGTCTTAAATCATAAAATTATGACATTTACCATTAAGTAAAAATTCTGACGTTAAAATTACCGTTAATTTTCTTTCGTAAAAATTACGTCCCTCATAATACTTCAAAGTGTTGAAACTTATTATTAAAATAGGTAAAAATAACATAAATAAAACTTATTAAATAACTTTTAAGTTAATTTAAGAAAATATTTACTTAAATTAGGTAATATTGCCTCAAAGCTCTACGCTTTAACTTCAAATGCTGCTTGGGAATACTAATGTAACATATTTTAAGCAACAATTAATTTCCTACCTTCCTATTAATATTTTTCAAAATATTTTTTATTTAATTGAATTTACTTAACTTACGCTAATAGAAAATTGGGTATCTTGTAACTTGTATCTAAAAAAGTATCTTAGTTAATCAAAAGTATCTTAGATACTCAAAAGTATCTTAGATACTTTCATATAGTATCTTAGATACTTTCGGATAGTACCTTAGATACTTTTTAAAGTATCTTGTAACTAAACATACTTTTAACTCAAAGTATCTAGTTAGCAGAGGTAACTAAGTTATTTTGTTTAAAGTATCTTAGAAAAGTAACTAGATACTTTTCAGAAGTAACTTTCCCAGCACTGATTGCAGATCAATAAATGCAGTAAAAACTTTACGAAAAACGTTGCAAAACCATCGTGCGTGGCTTATGCTTTGAAAAACGCAATAATTTCGGATAAAACTCAAAAGAAATCGTGGTAAAACACCCATGCATAGCGTATGCCTATTAGGGTGTTTCATTTAAAACGAAATTTTTTTTTTCTTGCTGACATAAAAATTTTGTTTTTTAGTTTGAAAAAAAAAATCCCTGAAAATTTGAACCCTTAATTTTGATTCTAAGTACTTCCTTTTTAATTTTGTAGTTTTTCCATATAAAAAGCATGTATTTTTAATCATTTTTACTTTAAATTTCTAAATTTTGGACGGGTTTTGAATTATAATTTTTATCACCATAATTTTCTGCATAGTATTCACGGTTTTTGAAAGGCCCTGCATCAATTTTGTTTTTGATTTATTTACGTTGATTGTAGTAGCTCCAAAAGTCGTTTTTTCACTTATTTTCACATAATTTTGAGAAAATCGAGCGAATGATTGGTTTTACTGAAAAAGTTCAAATAAAAAAGTTGTAGAAAATTTAATTTTTGACAAAAAAGGTTCTTACGTTCATATCACTAAAGTGCTTTGTTTAAGAGATATAAGCAATATATAGTTGTTAAATCAAATTACATTGTACATACATAAATTTCAATAAAACCAATTTTTTCTTTGTTTTTGGTTATTGAATTGCTTATATCTCTTAAACAAAGCATTTTAGTGATATGAACGTGAAAACCCTTTTTTGTCAAAAATTAAATTTCCTACAACTTTTTTATTTGAACTTTTTCGGTAAAACCAGTCATTCGCTCGATTTTCTCAAAAATATGTGGGAAAAAGTGAAAAAACGACTTTTGGAGCTACAACAATCAACGTAAATAACATAGATAATAAATCAAAAACAAAATTGATGGTGATAAAAAATATAATTCAAATCCCGGCCAAAATATAGAAATTTAAAGTAAAAATGATTAAAAACACATGCTTTTTATATGGAAAAACTACAAAATTAAAAAGGAAGTACTTAAAATAAAAGTTAAGGGCTCAAATTTTCAGGGAATTTTTTTTTTCAACCTAAAAAACAAAATTTTCATGTGTCAGTAAGAAAAAAAAATTCGTTTTAAATGAAACACCCTAATGCCTATGCAAAACTGTAACATTTGAATATGGTTCGCGCGTGACGTAACATGCGCGGTTCACATTACCGGTTTTTGTGTGTCGTGGAAAAAACGAATGGGCCGATTTTTGTTTATTTATTTGGTTGATCAGGAAAAGGCGAACAAATGGCAGGAAAACGGTCGAGAAATCGACGGACTGACGACGAACGGGGTGCTCATAATGCACCCTAAGGGCACTTTTTGCGGCGGGGAGGCCATCTGCGGCATATGGCTCGAAACGTCGGTGGGCGGCATCGTCTTGTCGCTCAGAGAGTCGAGATCCGCGCAGCAGAGGGGTCACGTGGTCGACGAGGAGACCAACGTTTTGCAGGACGGCACCATGATAGACTTGTGTGGCGCCACCTTGCTCTGGAGGTCTTCAGATGGACTTGCCAAATCACCGGTACGTATTTTCTTTCAGTTTTATAATATTATTTTCTAAAAATAATAATTATATATGTACCGTAAACACGGGTGACTTTAACCCTTTTATGAAAAATCTTTTCGCTCTCGATAAAATTAACATTTATAATTTGTTAATTTAAACCTGTCTATTGAGCGATTCTATTGAGTTTATATTACAGGAAAATCACTGATTTAAAGAAAGAAATGGGATTTATTACACTTGTATATACCAGGCCAAAAAAATCGACCATTTTTTTTTGGAAAATATATCGAAAATATTGTTTGGGGTGACAAAAAAAAATTATGGTGAAAGTTTGAATCTATCATCGCAATTTTAGAATTTTTTGTGTTTCTCTCCAAACTCCCAAACCATTGAATTTAACAAAATTGACTTAAAATATTTTTTGAAGAAAATTGAATGCTCTACAAAAAAGGTTTGAATGGAATTTTCCGTCAGATGAACCGTTTTCTTACAATCATGCCTTAAAAATTGGTATAGATTTATAATTTGATCTTTTAACTTTGGAATTTTGTAATTCAAGTAAAAATCAGTACCCTGAAAAAAAACGATAAATATTCTTATGGGAAATCAAATGCTCTACAAGAAAAGTCTTTTATCATTTTTGGCTAAATTCACCCCATCAAAAGTTATTCAAGGTTAAATTTGAAGTCAAAACGAACTTTTAACCTTGAATAACTTTTGATTGAGTGAATTTAGCCAAAAATGTTAACGAGGCTTTTTTTGTAAAGCATTTGATTTCCCATAAGAATATTTATCGGTTTTATTATGGGTACTGATTTTTACATGAATTACAAAATTCCAAAGATCAAAATGTAAAACTATACCAATTTTTAAGGCATGATTTTAAGAAAACGGTTCATCTGATGGAAAATTCCAATCCAACCTTTTTTGTAGAGCATTTAATTTTCTTAAGAAAATATAAGTAAACTCAATGGTTTGGGAGTTCTGAGCCTAAAACTTGCTGAGGAAAAAAAATTAAAATTGCGATGATAGACCTCTTAATAATAATATTATGGACTCAAACTTTCACAATAATTTTTTTTTGTCACCCCAAACCATATTTTCGATATACTTAAAAAAAAAATAGTGTATTTTTTGGCCCAGTCTAATATATATCGCATCAGTACAAAACTCTTAGAAATACACGCGTTACATTTTCCATATTATGCGCAATCCTTTGGAATAATGATGCTTGGTTAACTACAGGTCGATTTTTTTATCGGTAATCCCTTGCAATAGATATATGTCCCTGCTAACACGTGTCTAATAAAAATAAAATAAAATATTGAGTTAATTTTATACGGAAAATACACTGTGAGACAAAGTTACCCGCAACCAGGGGGTAACTTTGCACAACCAGTTTTTAATTTTTATTTTTGAAACTCAGCCCTATGTAATTTTATAACATAGTTATTATGAAAGAGCAACTCAAGACTCAAATTTTGGTATACAAAATTTAATGTTTATGATTGTTAAAACCACAAAAATTTTAAGCTTTAGTTTGAAAGTGAGCTAAAGCCACCCGTGTTTACAGTACCCACTTTTAAATATTCTTCTCTTTTTTTTGGTCATTTCAGCCCAACTGAAACTTGGTTCAAAATGTGCTTTAGTATGCAGGGGTAATTAAACTAGAGAGTCTAGAAAAAGACTAAATGTGCAAGAACAAAACCAAATTTAAAAAAACAATGCTCTAGTCTTGCTCCTGCTTTTACTAAATCAAATAAAATTTGTTGCTGTTTTAATATGCAAGCTCTTATATTTTTACTATTTATGATATTTTTTAAATCCCTATAGCTGAAGGACCTCACAATTCATTTCAAATTGTAAGAATAATAAAATTATTATTTATTGGTTTACAAGATGTCGTCCTTAACACTTTTGTAACATTTGGCAGTGTTAAAAAAACGTGGAACGATTTGTTGTGTTGTCGGATGTTTTTTGAGAGGAAATCCTAGGTCGATTTTTTACACTTTTCCCAATAAACAGTGGAAATCCGAATGGAGAAATAAATTGCATACAGTCCCTGCAAATATAAATTGTACCTATTAGATGCAATAAATACACATTTTAGTAATGATTTACGTAACAGTAAAAATCGTCAAACAAATAAGTCATCTAAATTCAAACGGGCATTATATTATGTATTATACAGGGAGTCACCAAATTAGTTGTTATCCTTTAAGGGTATGATAGTACTCGCTAAAATAAGAAAGTTTTTCCTCTCATTTTTGCATTAGTGCAAATATTTTTTATAAAAAAATCATTAAAATATTTTGAAGTAAAGTAGAAATTTTGAGCCGCCACTGGTTGTTCCTGACGCAAAATATGCTTGCACAGTGGGCAATAATCTACATCCATTAAAAATTTACATTTGTGTTATCATTGATTAGGGAGCGTTCAAGTATTACGTAACGCAATTTTTGGAGATTTTTAACCCTCCTCCCCCCTATGTAACGCGCCGTAACGTTTTTCTGTACCCCCCACCTAGTAAACCGTTAAGTAACCAAGTGACTATTTTTACCTAAAAATCACAATTATGTGGCGTAAAGTACCGGAAAGTCGCTAAAATAATGTTACGTAACGCGCAGTTCAAATCCCCCCTCCCGCCCCTGTAACGCATCGTAACGTTTTACAAAATGTATTTTTTTGGATCATTTAAAAGTTGATTATTTACGGAAAATTGAATATTTTATGTAGTCGCACGCTCATCTGTCAAACCCTAAAGACTACCACTAAAAGTGACACTTAAGCTTCTTATAAAATGTACCATTGTAATTTAACTTATCTTTACGTCTTGGAATTTAACCTTAATCTTTTTCTGCTGTCCACGACTTCCGGAACACCCTGTGCATCAATCTAGAATATTTTCGAACGCATTTTATTTATTTTTTTAGAGTAAAAGGGACTTGGAAAAGGAGATAGACAAACTGAACGCGGGCAGACCGCAATGCCCCGTCGGATTGAACACGCTGGTGATACCGAGAAGGGTCACGCCCAACGAGAACCAGCAGCAGCCGTACGTGTACTTAAATTGCGGGCACGTTCAGGGCCTGCACGACTGGGGCACGGAAGATTCCGGCGCCAGAAAGTGTCCGATATGCTTGGAGGTGAGAAAATACTTAGAAAATACGTCGAATTAACGCAACCTGACGTTTCTTGTTTTAATTATTTCAGTTGGGACCAGTTGTGAAGGTGATCATGGGGTTGGAACCCGCGTTTTACGTGGACTCTGGACCGCCGACTTTCGCCTTTAACCCTTGCGGACACATGGCCACCGAAAGGACAGTAAAGTGAGTCACTTTTTGTTTGATAATTATTAGATTCTCTCAAAAAAAACCTGCTATTTTTTTCAAAGAACATTGAAAAATCGTCAGAGTATCTCTAGAAAACGACCCTGTGAAAATATGAGCTCTTAATATTAATATTTAGAGGTGGCGTTTTGTAATTTTTTATTTTCCATTTAAATAACATGGACATTTTTTTTCAAACTTTGGAATTTTTTAACGTAATAACAAGCTACTTTAATGCTCTACAAAAAAGGTCTGATTGACATTTTGCGTAAGTTACGCTCTTTTTTCTTTCTTAAATAAACAAAATTAATTAAAAACCCAAAATTATTCACTTGCATATATTTGATGAAATGCGGATTCAAAATTTTGAATAATTTGACAAATGATAATTTGTATCGATTTTTAGCGAAAAATAAGTAAATATTGTTCTTTGAAAAAAAAATAGTCGTTTTTAATAATTATATTTAGAGATGGGGTTTTAGTATTATTACCTTTTTGTCCACCCTAAATATCACTTTAGGCATAAAATCCGCTTTGGAGAAAATGATTTTATTTTTACCAGAAATGAAACTAATTTTTTAATTTGACTACCTAAAATTGTGTGACTTTACGCATTTTACCTAAATTCCCATTTTTAACAGAAATGAACCAAATTTTACTATCAAAAACAGGTTTTGGTTTATGTGGTTGGTACTTGGTATCGAACATTCCCTTGCAATGTTGTCAGAAAAAATTGAGAAATTTTTGGAAAAACTGACTTTTTCATTTTATTCAAAAGGTTATGCAAAAGTAAATTTTTCTGAAAATATCCGTACACTGATATCGAGAAAAAAGTGAATTTTCGACGCTGATTATAATCATATAATATAATGATGAATATAATAATTATTCCTTTTATTTTAACTCAGTAAGGTTCTATTTTTTTCTCTACCGGACCGCAAAAAGAACATATTCGGTGCTGTATTAACATAACTTTCGTTTTATTTGACACTTTGACTTATAAAATTATAATTTCGTAAATTAATTTATTATTTTGTAATTGGATATTACAGACAGTATATTTAACCTTATAATAAAAGTATATTTTCTTAAATCAAATTAATTTAATTCAAGTCAATTTAGGTTTTTTTTTGTTAATTAAAATAATGTTAAGATGTGGTTTGCTACTTTTTTAAAATGTGTATATTTTCCAAAAAAATCAATTATTCCCAAAAAGCCCATTTTTCCAAGGCCTGAAAAAAAAAACGGAAAGAGCAGTTTTTCTCCAATTTTTTCGTTTTTTTTTCGTCACTTTTCAAGTTTTTTTAGTCAATCCCATGTTATCATGTTTTATTTAAAAATCTGATGCATCTAAAATTCCAGGAAATTTGTGCTTTTTTATGGGACAGTATTTTTTAAAACATTTCATTTATAATGAAAGTGAATTTTTTATTGTCAGCAATTGTATGCTTATTTACAAAAACATTTCGAATGTTCCTCCACTTAAAAAAATTATAAAATTTATGATAGTTTCGTCAGTTATTTTATCTACACCTACATTGACAAGCTGTGACTTAATGGCGTTTTAGTCACGGGCTGGACTTAGCTTTATTATAAATTGCGAAAAAGTGAGGTTAAATTCGTCAAATGTCAAAATTTTATTAATTAAAATTGGCTTTAATTTCTTCGCAAGCTTCGCTCGTGCCTAATAAACTAAAATGGCGTTTATAAAACTTGATACATAATATACTATTTAAACTTTTCAAATCATAAAAATCTTGTCTAATAAAATTTTATACAATGATAAATTAAATAATTTTACCACCTAATACAAGAACTTTACCTATTTTTATAATTTTTGCTACTTAAATTCTCTCTATCGATAAAATAATAGATATTATGCGTCAAGTTTAATAAACGCCATTTTAGTCACGAATTTAATTTAGGCACGAGAGAGCTTGCGAGCGATTTCTTAATTGAATGAGTTTATAATTTTATAAACGAGTTGCATACTATACTTTTTCTACGAAAAATACCTACTTAATATCTAAAAAATATTTTTATAAAGCGACATCTATACAAAAATAAAGTAACCATCCCAATAAAATCTTTTACGTAATTTTCACCATTAACATTGCCCGTTATTATTATAATTAAACTTAACAATTATTAATACTTTAAAATATTAAAATAACTTCAAACTATGATTATGTTAATAACATATGTTATCCTTTGATTTTAATTATTACTATAATTGCAAAGTATTATTATAAAGTATTAAAAATTCTTACACGGAAAATGTTGAAGGAACAAAAAGTGACAGTTGTATTTATTGGAATTCCCGTTGGAATTTTTAACCTGAGAATCTACCGGCGTGTAAATCAAAATTTATCCCTTAAAAATAGGCAAACAATCGATAAAGTAGCAGTTTTTCACAGTAAAAGAGAAGATAATGTTTTATGGGCACTGTACCCATAATTTTTAACGCTTTATCAGTTAAATCCTGTTTACTGTACTACTGCGGCAAAATCAAAAATTCAGTACAAATGTTCACATAATTTTTTCAAATATTGGCGTCAAGAAACTTTTTAAAACTTTTGTATTTTGGTATTGAGAAAATAAAATAATTTTCACATTTAGTATTATTTTACAAGACACTTTATTTTAACGATTGTATGGCATTTGACAACTGTCAACTAACATAAAGCTAATTACAGCCCGTGACTAAAAACCTGTTGATAACTTCAGCCCATGACTAAAGCGCCATAAAGCCACAGCTTGACAATGTTTATTTTAAAGGTGGGAGTAGAAAAAATATTGGGAAAAAGTATTGGGAAGTACCTGCAATTATTATTTTCAGATATTGGGCTAATGTGGCAATTCCACACGGCACGAACGGTTTTCACGCAGTCTGCCCGTTTTGCGCATCACCTTTGGCAGGTTCACCAGGTTACATACGTCTAATTTTCCAAGACAACGTGGATTAAAATACCTACTCTATTTCGTATTTAAGGTAAATACACCGTAAGCGAAAAAATAATTGCGAATAACTGTATTCGTTACTTTTAGGTTTGGTACAAATTGTCCATTGTTTTTGAAGGATCTTGTGCGTAGAAATTGGTTTCTGAGACTTAATTTTCGAATGTTGTGTAGTGTGTCAGTGTGAAAGTTTACCAAAGCTTTATTTATATCGCTAGGGTTATATCGTGGAATTTACAAAAATATGCCTGAATTTCGCAGGCATATTTTATAATAGCATCCTTTGCATCTAATAATAAGAAATTATCAATTTTGTAAATAATTATAAATGGTATTATAGGGATCATGAGCGAGAAATATTAAATTGAAATAAAATTGCACTAATTATTTTTAATACATATTTAGACGTTTGAAACAGTAAAATGTAAATAAGCGTTCGTTTTAGTTAGTTTTGTGAATAAAGCGATCTTTTGTAATTTTGTAAATATCTGCATTGATAAAAATTAATTGGATAAAGAAGACACATTGTTATGATAATAAAGAGATATCAGAATTTTTTATAATTTTATATCTCTTCTATGAGGTTGCTTAATATCAGGGCAACATTTTTTTTGGTATAGAATTAATATTATTTACTTGAAATTCAAATTTATCATTTAGGTACACAATTTCTATTTATAGTATTATAACAAAATCTTTTTGTCTTAATTTCTAATGTTAAGAGCAAATGTGTGAATTGTTAAGACTGGTTAGAATTTAGCTAGATTGATATATCAATTGAAATAATGTTACTAATTTTTAAACAATGAAATATACAATTACTTAATGTGGTAAATTATCATAAAAATGTTATCTGTGTTATTTTTTTTCGAGTGCAATGAATACTTTTATCATTTTTGCAAGTCAACAAAATTGTTGGACATAAAAGTGATAAAAGTATGACATACATATCTATTTACTAATGTTTTGTATTGAATTGATTTTAATTTTTTGCATACTCTGAAATATTGTTTAAATTTAATTTTTATAGAAAAGATTTTTATATTTTTATACATTAATTTGCATGGTCCAAAGCTAAAACGAAAACAATTTGTGATAAAATTTTCCTTATTTTTATTATTTTATCTTGAATTTTGACAAAATTATTGTTCAACCAATCATATGAAATAATTTACCATATATTAATTACTAAGGTTTATACATTAAAATTTGATGTAAAATTAATATTTTTTATTTATCCACCATATTCAGTTTGTAAATATGTAGTATAAGTTTAAGCCATAGATGGTAGTTTTAAGATATTATATAGTCCCCCACAAATGAATTTATCTGTGCCTGGATTCACTAATAAAAATTTAAAAAATACAAGTTCTTTATTTCAACTTTTACATTTACTAATACAAAAAAACATATTTACTTTATTTGTGGTATAGTCAACTTATCTATTTTATCTGCCAACACTTTTTCAACCATTTTAAAATCATGCTAAAAAACATACAGGGTTAAAATATTAACTAACACATTTTCATGGAAGACTAAAAAATTAGGGTTTTAAAATTTCCGGAAAAATTGAGCCGGTGGAAAGTCGTTTTTTTTCCCGAAAAAATTGTGAAATTTTCATAAAAATTGACTTTTGCATTTTTTTTCATTTTATTCAAAGGGTAATACAAAAAAATTAAAAAGTCAATTTTTCTAAAAAATTTACAAATTTGTAAGGATACTGGATGCAATGTTTAGTTTTATTTTTTTTCTGTAAGGATATAATAATGCTAAGTTGTTGATGGTCACAATTTTTCAAATGTGTATTTCCCAAAAAAAAATCAATTTTTTTCGTTTTTTTCCGAAAAAATTGTGAAATTTTCATAAAAATTGACTTTTGCATTTTTTTTTTCATTTTATTCAAAGGGTAATACAAAAAAATTAAAAAGTCAATTTTTCTAAAAAATTTACAAATTTGTATGGATACTGGATGCAATGTTTAGTTTTATTTTTTTTTTCTGTAAGGATATAATAATGCTAAGTTGTTGATTGTCACAATTTTTCAAATGTGTATTTCCCAAAAAAAAATCAATTTTTTCCAAAAAAAAAACAATTTTTTAAGGCCTGGGAAAACAGTTTTTTTCCCAATTTTTCCGAATTTTTTTCGACACTTTAAAACCCTACTTGGCATTCAATATTATAATACACCCTCAATTTAAAATTTCATGTAATTTACTTACTTGTAAAATATGTACCCCTTTCATAGAAAAAACCACTAGTTCTTTTAAACCATCCCCTGTTATATCAGAATATCTTATGTTTATTATTGGACTCGAAAATTTTCTGAGATCTTGTATATACCATCTTTTTTCTTTATACTTATAAAGCATTACCTCCTAAAAATATATTTTACATAACTGTAAAATTAGGGGTGTTATTATTACCTGTGAACTATTCCCAATTAAAATTTCAGGTTCACCATCAAAATTAACATTGGCAACTTCACAGCAAGTCAAAATGCTTGTATGATTATGCCTTGGTAAAGTTGAAAAGTCGCTTAAACCGTATTTTAGAACGTTTCTAAATAAAACTGCTGGTAAAATGGAATTTGTTACTAAAAGGTTCAGGTGAGGTTTCTCAGGTTTTTCTGTATCTAGATCTTTCTTATGGAATTGGTTTGTTATGTTTTTCTCTGGATAAATACATAGTGACGATATGTAGTTATTAAATCTTGTAAAAAAGTTGTAAATCAGTTTATTAGTTTGTGTGGACGTTCTTGTTAACTTAACATAGCCACATTCGCAGGCATATGCAGTTATTCTCCTATAAAATATGTAAAATATAAAATAAATATTATTACTCGGTGTGTATTACTCTTTAAAGTCTTCTGTGTGGTAAATATCAATAGCAATAACAGGACTTGGGGTTTTAATGAATTCAGGGAAAAAATCCTTATCAATTTCCTTATATTCATGGTCTGAAGCATTCTCTCTGTAAACATGGACTTGGTGATCACTACCAGATAACACAAATACTATCTACAAAATTTAAAATAATTTAAATGGACAATAAATTAATTACACTCCTAAGCACCTCTTTACTAACAATATCGTTATCATTCCAAGTTATTAAATAGGTGTGCAATAATTTGTATGGAATAAAATTTAGCAAAACATTAAGACAATTCTGCGCTATATTTTCAATGTTAAAATCATTGCTTTCCTCCCATTCTGAGTATATATTCAAGAATGTTTCCAATTGATCTGATTCATTTGAATTCTAAAAAACCTGTTAAGTCTATACACCAATTATACTTAGAATATTTACCTTTATAATCGTTATTCCTATTACAAACTCATTTTTAGTCGATGATTTATTAAACGCATCAATAGAAATAATCTCAGCACCACCTTAAAATAACATATTTGTCAAGATGTACTCAAAAAGAGTAATTTTTTAAATACTTGGTATGTATGTGAAGGAAACCTCTTTTGTGGTGGGAATTAGGTAATTTTTCGGAGATTCCAGGTACTCGAAACAAAAAATTTCCCTTTTTAAGGAAGCAACAAGTAGTTTCTTGGAACCGTTTGCCAAATTTAACACCGTCAACGTGTAAATACTACCTTGCGATGGCAAGTGGAAATAATGTGCATCTATAAATTGTTCCATTTTGATAAATTAAAAACAAGAAACAAAACAATTAAAACTTTTAGGTTATGTTTTGACGTTTGGACAGTGTTGCCAGTATATTATCATAGAGAAACCTCTCTATGACATTGATATTTTCTTCGTAATCGTTTCCTGATTTATAGATTGTCTTCCTTCCTTTCTTCCGTAAAAGATTAACAATATAAAAACCGTTGTGCTATTTAAAGGTTCCCGTATGGGAATCTATAAACGGCACTACCATTTTTGTATTGTTCATCTTTTACGGGAGAAAGGAAGGCAATCTATAAATCAGGCTTTAATTTAAGGTTTTCTTCCACATTTTGAACTGTAAAATTTACAGTTTGCACCCTAATTTAATCGTTGAGTGAAGATAAGTTCATTTTTTTTATCTGGACTGCGGCAACGTTCCAAATTTAGGGTTTTGGTTGGTAAATACAGTTGTCAAGTTGGTCGCATTGATTAAAACAAACTAGTTATAAATCTAATTGTGGTTATGTATAAATTATTGTAGGTTACATTGTGCAGTTGTCAAGTTGAGTTGTCGAAATTCGTAGTTAAAAATGCAATTAATTTGGCTTTGGTGGTGCTTGGATGAGTAAAATCATATAAAAAAGTAGTTAAATATAGGTTGCTTTACGGCCCAGAAGAGAAAGTATTCCTAGCGGATAATAATCTTCGCTTTGAAAAGAATTTATATAAAAGATATTATAATTTTTTGTGAACGTAAATGTTGTCTAATGGCAAATAATGTGAAAAAAATGTGTGATGTAATATTTCTGTGGGTAAAAGGCATAAGGGGATAAGTTAAAAAAAGCAATTTTTCAATAGAGCCTTTAAAGTGTTCGCATTAATTCAGGAAATATATTTATGTTTAGCGGGTAGGTATACGCTTTTGATAGCATATGACATGGGCTAAAAAAAGGGTATACCCGCTAACCATAAATATGTTTCCTGGATTAATGCGAATACGTTTAAGGCTCTACTGAAAAATTGCTTTTTTTGACTTATCCCCTTACCCACAGATTTATAAAACCAAATTCGTTAATTTTTTACTCCACAAATGTCCATAAGGCGATGTACTTATTCTTCCATTGTGACATTTGGCATAATTTCATCAAAATGAAGTTTTGCCCTTAAAAGGGCTTTTACATTCGAATTCGTTGCTATCATTTTTGGCATAATTTTCTTTTTATTTATAATTGACAAGTAAATTAACAATAAATATTATTGTCAATTTGACAGTGTCAAAGTATTTAATTAAGAAGTACCATTTTTAAATACTAAAAATACTCAAACTGGCATAAGCCACCAACCTAACAAAAAAACACGAGTCCAGATAAAAAAAAATTAACTGTACACTTTGACTACAAAAATTCATTGCCATTTTTTATATTTATACTTCCTTCCTCAAAAAATTACTATTGTCATCTGTTTCCGCTTCCGGTTCTGTTAAGCACCCTTTATAGGATTCCATGCATAGGATTGGGTTATAAAGGACTCAAAAATCGTATCACACATCATCACTTTATTACATAATATGTACAGGGAAAGCATTAATTTAAATAGTATGTACAAAACAGTTAAAACATTGCACTTTTAAATATCAACTAAATAACAATTAAAAACATGCTATTTATGATATATCACAATTAGGTTTAAATAAATTAAAAACAGTCAGTATTTGTTTAAATCGTGTTGAAACAATCACACATTTGGATTTGGAATGTCATGGAAATTTTGTGTGAGGTTAACTCCAACTGGGGTCGTAACCCTTCCAATTCAGATTTGGTGCTAGGTGAACTCTATGACCTTTGTAATAGAATGTAACGATTCCTTTGTAGGCTGTTCTTGGAACTCCACTCTAAAAAATGTAAAAAAATTGTATAGTGTATAATAAAAAAAACTGTTTTTTACTTTGAAATCGTCCATAAGTCCCAACTTCTTAGTGATTAATTTGTACTCCTCACGTGTTCTGTATACTATCCTTAAAGGACCATCCTTAGTAACTTTACCTTCTCTAAGATCTTGGTAACTAATAACAGGGGCTTGGTAAACGGTTTTTACAAAATCAATATCATAAATATCCTAAAAACGCAATAATCATAATTTTATAGGATAAAAAGGATTTATTTCTAATTACCTTTCTTAAATAAGTAAGATTCATCTTTGAAAAAGGTACAAATTCCTCATTTAGTTTGATAAATTTTAAGTGTTTTTCAAAAAACATTCCACTAAAACAAATTAAAATTGTCAAAGATTTCAAAATATTGAATGCATACATTATTATTATAATAACTAAAATATTGAATGCATACATTATTATTATAATAACTAACCAATACTAAAGAATTAGATATCGGGTTTATGCAACGCGCGCGCCATCTGGTGGATGGCATTGCGTGAATTTAAGAATTGTCAACAATACATTTAAAGCATATGAACTGTACATCATTTTTAAATAAATAGGTAGTTTTTTCACAAAAGAGAGGAAGGTAGAAGTCTTACTTGACAAATTTTGTTCAATTGCACAGCTAAATCGCGCACGTTATTTGTGTTTTATGTTCCAAGGAAAAAACTAAAAAACTGGTTTAGTACTCGATTTCGATTGATTATTCTTTATATCATTGATTAAGAAACTCAACGCTTAAATACTTATATAGTTACGTTAGTGTGTGTATTTTATTTAAGGGATCATGGTGAATTATTGTATTTTTAATTGTAAATAAAATTCAAGAACTTAATCGTTGCAGTTTTATGTTTTGCCAAAGGATCCAATTCGGTAGGTGCATTTGTTGGTGCAGAATTTACTAATGATAAATTTACCTAATATAATTTATATTTAAGTTTGGACATTTTTAAGAAATTAGTAAAAAATAATTTTTGCACAAACATAACCTTAAAATCAAGCATTTTTATATTTGAGTTCTCTAAAAAACGCCGACAACTGCATTTTAAACAACAAAATATACCTACGAATTCATGACAACATAATAATATATATACATAAATAATATAATGGTATTTTACCGTTGAGTGGAGACTTTCTTAATCAACGCTTTTAATAATGCTAAATGCTGTTTAAATTTAGACGACTTATTTGTTTGACGATTTTTACTAAATTGAAATGTTTACCTTTTTCACGTTAATTACTTAAATGTGTATTTATTGTATCTAATAGGTACAATTTATATTTACAGAGACTGTGTGCAGTTTATTTCTTCATTCAGATTAACAATGTTTATTGGAAAACCGGTAAAAACTTAACCCAGGATTTCCTCTCGAAATACACCCAACAACACAACAAATCGAGCCACGGTTTTTCGATATTTTTTAACATTTTTCGGCTTTATTCTTAAAAACACTCGTTTGTAACATAAGCGTTTGACAGCTGATTATTAAAAGTTTGTTACGATGATAACAGCCGAGTGGTGGCGCTACTAGCGATACTTCTTTAGCGTTTAGAGCGACATCTATACAAAAATATAGTAACCGTAAGAATTGGAATCTGTATTACCGGCGGAAAATGTCAAATTTTTCTGTGTAAATCGAAATTTATTTCTTGAAAATGGTCAAAAAAACAACCTTTTAAAACGGATATAGAAGCAGTTTTTCACAGTAAAAGTAAAAAAACATATATAAGACCATGCTGCTGATGAAATCAAAAGGTTAGTACAATCTTTTTAAATATTGGAGTTGAGAAACTAATTAATACTTTTGAATTTTTGTATTAAGAATATTAATTTAAGAGAATACAAAACTTTTCACATAAGTATTATTTCACTTTATTTTGTATGAAATTTGACAACTGTCAAAACTGTAGTTTTAAATTGTTTAGAAAAGTTTATCATAATAAGTGGTTAGGTATTTCAATATTTATTTTAGGGTAAAGTAGAACTAAAAAATTAAAACATAGAACAAGATAATTATTAGTTTTTGAGGTTAAGTTCTGTTATATTAATTTCTTATAATTTTTCTTACTTTGAAACCCCTGCTTTTCCAAATGTCCTGGTTCTCGATATTTCAGGCCTAATGCAGGATCTACCTTTTCTTTGAAGTGGTTCCCTTATCCAATCATCCCAATACCTAAAAATATCCCATTAAATTGTAAAACGACTGTTTCATCTTTTAAAATTTTACGCTCTTGGCCATTTTTTGTACAACTCATTCCATATGTTTTTGGTTAACATCCAACCAAGACCAGGGAAGAAATCAGTACGGTAAAGTAATTCTGGTCTTGATAAATCAACCAAACCCTCTTTTCCATTGTCATTCCATGCCGAGATGCACCACAAAGACGGATCTTTGTGTAACAAATGATAAGTGCCCATAAAATACTCAAAAAAGTCCGGGGCTATTTCTAAATCATCTAAAATACCATAACATTATAATTGTATACAAACTGGAGATGCTTAAATACCTTCTACTATAATAACAGTGCTAAAATTAAAATTAAAAAACATTTGATTTAAAGCCCATCCATAATGCCGGGCTATTTTAAAGTATCCCTTAAACTTCTTCTCTTTCGGTGGCACTTGGATGTCATTCTGATCCGGCTGTTGGATAAGAGATACTTGGGATCCATATTTTCTAATAACTTCTGTAGTCTCTTCATGTGCACAATCCTAAACACAGCAGATAAAAAAATAAAATTTTAAAATACTAAAATAAATAAAAATTAGCATACCTGGCTGACAATAATAGGAAACTTGTCAGGGTCAGGTCTGTGCTTAATAAGTCCATCCAAACATTTGGATATAGTAACTCTGTTACAAGCAAATATCAGAACAGGTATCTTAATATCTTGTAATTCTGTCTGTCTTAATTCACCTTTCTTTTTAATCTCCAAAAATTGCTGAGCTTCATTTATAATATCACTGTTAAGTTTAAATTGTTCAGAAATACCTCGTTCCAGTTTGTTGATCTGATTGTTCACATTATCATTAGAGTCTCCTAATTTATTTGGTTGGTATGTTAAAGTTAGGTACAAAATAGAGGACCATATAATTATTATTAATCCTAATATAAAACTTGTGCGTTTTAAGCGCATTATTGTTTAAATATGTGGAAGTTCTGCAACAAAAACAAATTATGTAATTTATGGAATTTCCATGATTAAACTCGCACGTACATTAAAATGCATAATTCATTGAATTTAACCGCATTATGGCAAGAATTCGTATGGTTATCATTTATATTATCAACATATTTATAAATATTGACACGACACTAAACGTCACAAAACTGTCAAACGTCAAAAATATTTATGTTGGTATTATTGATTTTTCAGTTATAATCGGCCAAACAAATAAACGAATTTAAATAGAAACAATAATTAAGATATTTTGGACCCCTTAATAGTTAATTAAATGCAATACAATATTTTAATAATAATAACGTTCATAAATATTTTGTATTATTCTTATCAAAAAATTATTTATTGAATCCAGAAAATATTACATAAAAAATATTTTTCTGGCTAACTGGATTCATTAATAGGTGAGAAGTTAGAAGAAGATGTATCCAACACAACAACAAAAAATAGATTTTATAGGTTATGAAAGCGTAAATAAATCAGAGAAATAGGCTTTATTTCTCTGAAATAAATAAAATAATCAATATGCAACAAAGAGAAGAAAAACAACTTGAATCAGCGTTGGAATCGATAATTCAGCGAGTAAATGATTTAAAAAATTCGATAGCATCGATGATATTTAGGGTAGAAAACGAATTTGAGAGTATTAACTGGCCAACATTTCTGGATAATTTTGCTCTTATTTCGGGACAGCTTATTTCCTTATCCAAAGTCATAAGTCATGATAAATGCCCAAGCCTACGAAACTACACAGTATTACCACTATTACTTTGTCCGGAAAAAGACGAGCAACTAGCACAAGTGACTGAACATAGGGTGACAACGTTTTCTCATGACTTGGTACCGGATTATTTAAGGACAAAATTGGAGCCATCGGCTGAAAAAAAAATGTTGCAATTGGAACAGAAAGCTGCAGCCTTAACATATGAGAATGCACAAGTAAGTTTTTTCATTTTTAAGTACCTAGTGTGTTTTTAATATATTACCTTCAATTTAACAATTTTTATGGCACGCCGTTTTAACATTTATTAAATAATTTTTTAATTTAAAATTTTATTGGTTTCAAATTTTCCTAACTAAAAATTTTAGGTTTACATTTATAATATTTTCAACTATCATGTATTGAAAGACAAAATTTACTTCTGTATTGAACAATATTATTTTCTATCAATTTTTGCAAAAATTTCTAACTTTCATTTTTTAATAAAAATAATTTCCCAAGTATAATTTATTTGGGTGGCATTGTTTTAACTTAAATAAATATTTTATAAAATTATTGAGATTAATTTGGAAAAGTTAAATTTTTTAGTATTAAAAAATAGTATCAAGCCATTTAAAATAAAAACACATATAAAACATTTTCTACCAAAATAGTTTAAAAAGTTAAATTTTTGTAAACTCAAAACTATTGATAATCAAAAAATATTTTAAATATAAAATACAACTGTAAAAGTTTAAGTTTAAAAATATTAATTTTTAAAAAATGGAATTTTAATATTTTATTCTTCAAAATTATTGGTTTGAATTTGTAAAGAGTCATTTAAATGATAGTCGATAAATTTTCAATACAAAAATTTGAACATTACATTTAAATGTTAGTTTTAAATTTTAAAGTGGTAATTTTTGCATTAAAAATTTATCGACTATCATTTAAATGACTCTTTACAAATTTAAACCAATAACTTTTATTTTTAACAATTTTAAATTGATACATTTTCAAGACAAAATTTATAACTTTACATTTAAATGTAAGTCGATAATTTTTAAATTACAAAGTGTAAACGTAGCTTTAGTACAAGGCACAACAGAGGGATCGGAGCCACGATGAAGCCAGTTTGATCCGCAGTGTTGCCAAATCGTGCTTGCTCCATAAATATTTGACGCGTTTTACAAATTATTGTAATGAAATGTTTCTTTATTACATAAATTTAATAATAGAACAACAACATTTTTAGTGCCTATTGTACTAAGTTAATTCGACAATTAAAAAACATCAACGGATCAAACTGGCTGCATCGTGGCTCCGATACCAGACTCTTGTGCCTTCTACTAAAGCTACGTTTACACTTTGTAATTTTAAAATTATCGACTTACATTTAAATGTAAAGTTATAAATTTTGTCTTAAAAATATATCACTTTAAAATTGTTAAAAATAGAAAATTTTGGTTTAAATTTGTAAAGTCATTTAAATGATAGTCAATAAATTTTTAATCCAAAAATTATTACTACTTTAAAATTTAAAACTTACATTTAATGTAATGTGAGAATTTTTTATTAAAAATTTATCAACTTTCATTTAAATGACTAAAATTTAAACCAATAATTTTGTAGAATAAAATATTACAACCAAAACTTTTAAAAATCAATATTTTTAAACATAAATTTTTACTGTTGCATTTTATATTTAAAATATATTTTGACTATCAATTGTTTTGAGTTTAAAAAAATTTAACTTTATAAATTTCTGTTAAAACATAATTTAAGTGCTAAACTTTAATCTTTTAATATTATAACCAAATGGTGTACATTTTAAAAAGTGAACCTTAATAAATTATCTTAGCAATATCAGAGTAGGGAAGAGATTGGAGGAGTAATCACAACTATTTTAGTTAATATTGGAAATTTTATAGGTCTTTTCCTTCTTAATTTTTACCAAAATTTAGCTGCTTGCAACAGTAAAATAGATGAGGAAACATTAAATTAGATTGCGTATTTTATTGTAGAAACAAGTTGCTGCATATCAAAAAGTTATACAGCATGTGTGGGATATAATAAGTAAGGCTCGGGAAGAATGGGAGGTCGAAGCAGGTTCTAGGGGAAGTACACAGCAAAATTCCAGTGTGGCTGACACACATTTATTGGTGGCTGCTGTGGGAATGGGCAAAGGACTGAAGGTAAGAAATTGCAAAGAGCCCAAAGTTAACATATGCTTTTTTCAAGCATTAAAATTTAATTATTTTAAAAATGACATTTTTGTTCAGTTGGGACCTAATCCCAATGGTCAACCAAATCCAACTTCAGGAGGCATGATGGTGGCTCCCCAGGGAAGACCGGCAGGTCAAGGTCAAATACCACCAAGTACTCAGGCGATGACCATGAACAAAGCCCCTTCAGCTATTAAGACTAACATTAAAAGTGCATCTCAAATTCATCCGTATGGACGTTAAAATCATGATTTTTAAGATTTTTATTTATAAAATATTTTTAGTATAATTTTGTCTTTCATTTTAGTTATTGTTTTAATACGCGGGTAAGTCGTTACAAAATCAGAGATGGCGCTAGTAGTGAGTTCTACAAATTTGTATACTTGATTTTTTTTAAATGCTTCTTTGATTATTTACCCTTTAAAAATTGTTAAATTTTAAATTAAATTATCACCAATTTTTCATGGATTAATTGTCATTAGTAATTACTAATGACAATTAATCCATTAATCTTAAGATTTACATTTTGTCCAAATTTCAAATCAATACGTTTTAAAATAAAAAAGTTATTAAAAAAAATGAAATTTCTTCATTTTTAGCACAGTGAAGAAAAAAATAAAAATAAAAACAAAGTTGTCAATGGACGAGATTTTTAATTAATTTTTAATTAAGAACTGCATTTTTTTATTGAGAAAAATAAATCCTAAATATTACAGTAACGACAATTTCGGATAAATATGACACAATAAATAAATATAATGTTGGATTTATATAATAAATATTAAATAAAGGAATAAATTTAGATGTAGAAATAAGGTAAAAAGTTTCAATCGACTTCTTGAACCCTTGCAAATCGACCGTTAGATCCTTTCGCAAAAAAAAATGGCCATTTGTTGTTAACTACGTAGTTAACAGAACAAATGGCCATTTTTTTTTAAATAACCATAACTTAAAAAAAAGTCTAAAAGGGACGTTTTTCTCAGAAGAAAAAAAACGAACATTTTTTCGATGTCACTTTCCATAAAATTTCTGATTCTGAATTTTTTGAGAAATACCATTAATTTTTCAAAGTTTGCCATTTTTTCTTTTTTTTATATAATAAAACGAACTCCAGACTTTTCTTTATAAACTTTTTTTAATTTTTCCCATTCGTTTATTGATTTTTATAATAAAATCAATTTATGTAAATGATTTAAATTTTACACTTAATTTATAATCTAATCTAATGATTATGGTTAATATGATTAACAATAATTTAATTTTTTTATACCAATTTAACAAACGATTTATTTTATTTAACCACAATTTACATAGTACATGAGCATAATGAAGGTAATAACACTTCAGTGCAATAATCCATAAGGCACTAGTGTTTTATGACAATTAATAAAACAAAAACGTCAGAATTTACTTGTATATATTTACTATAAATAACAATTTTTTGACGAAGGCATAAATAATTTACATATTTTGTACTCACTTGCATTTGGAAAAAAGACAACCATCTGTGTAATCCTTATAATTATTAGGTTATAATATAACCCTAATAGTCCTGAATGGTCAAGTAAAGGTGATTTTATTAAAGAAATAAAAAATGTTTTTCAATAAAAAAAAATGGAAAGAAGTCATTAATCGCAGAATAGAAGTTTTTCTTATAAAAAATTGGCATAGAAAATTTTTACTAAAAAGTCAATTTTTTTAAAAGTTATTGGTATTTGAAATATCAGCCATTTTTTAAAAAAAGTTTCCTTGATAATAAAACGGTTTAAATACTTCAAAAAATATTAAAAATATCCTAGAAACAGATGTTAAAGTCATTGGTAATTCTTGACACATCTGTTAATAACATCGTCTCTCTTCAAGGTCATCGAAGCGTTTTTAATCTTGCGGTTTTCAAAACGCAAAAATTGTTTGAAAAAAGCGTAATTTCTTGCGGTAGTTGAATAAAATATTGTTACTACTGTTGTAGCAGGAGATTCTCAGGTTGGTCCATAAAATAAAATAATAAGAAGCCACTGGATTAATACAATATTTATTGCAATAAACTTACAAAATAACTAAAAATAACAGTAAAAACAAACATTTATATAGGTCAACAGAAACTTAAGCATAGCTGAAAACAACTAAAATTATGTTTGTTTATTAATTAATTCAAAAAACAAAACAATTTTAATTGGGTGACACTATAATTAAAATACTTAAGATTGTGTTTTTTAAATTTGTGTTGTATAAGCGCAAACTACACATTTGTACAAGGTTTAAAATTGATCTTTTTTCCATTGAGATGTTCCGGCATTGTGCAAGTTTGTACTTGTATTTTAAAATAGTCTGGCTGAAGATTAATTAATACCCTGTAGGTACTTAAAATAGAAAACAATATTTTACAAAAATAAACGTGATTCTTGAATAATTAAACAAAACACAACACATAAGTTGAACAAAGATTTAAAATAAATATATTTTTGTAATAAATAATTTTGTATGTATGTAGGTATAATGTTTTAAGATAAATAATCTCACTAAATAAAAATTAATAAATAATTGGAATGGTTTAAATTTTTTGCGAATGTGTGTGTTATGAACTAAAAACAAAATTAAGTACTTAATGCATAACTAATTTTAATTGATGATGATGAACTTAAATATTAAACTCCAACAATAAATTATATTCAAGTTTGTGAATAATGGGACATATAAAATATAAAACATTGTATTTTAATAATTACGTATAAATATGCTTCTCTAAAATATAACAACAAATAAAATACTTTTTGTGCACAATATGCAACTATTCTATAATTCTATGTTTTATATGGCAAGAACTCTAAACTTTTCTAAAATTTTGATCCCCTATGTACACAATTGTTATTGAACAGATCCCGCAAAAATAAAGTTTTAAAATACTGACCAACAAATGTTTTTATGTACAATATGTATAAATTCATTTAGCCGAAAGGAGCATTACAACGTTTAGGTATTGCACTGGTAATCACTACTTTTATAACAGGATTGTTAAAATCTACAAAAGACGTTCCCGAAAGGCACCTCAGTTGCTTCTTAAATTTAGAAGATAAATTAACGATTTAAATCAGTCGGCCAGTACTTTAACATAACCGCAAAGAAGGTTTACAATAAAAAGTACATACAATTCTTAGGTTAGCAGATTGTCTGTGCCTGGCCCTTTCTTAGTCTGGAGGTAGATAGCTGAATAGTTTGAATTTGTTTCTGATGTGCGGTCGCACGTCTTCCTTCTGTAAAAAATAATTGATAACAAAAATATTGTCACTTTTTTTTGTAACTTGTGACTCACCATTTCAACAAGGTTCTCGAGAAATGGTAACAATTTTATTAGTTCGGAGTCGGTTCTGTCGACAAACCAACTTTCAATTGGTATTCCATTATTCAGCTGAAATTAAAATATATCATACTACTACTGTTTTATGTTTTTCGTTGTTAAGTTAACGTTATTTGCAATAAGTGGGGAATTAAATTATGGTTAGATTAAAGTTATGTTTAGGAAATTTAACTTTTTGGTTAATTTACCTTTTGGTTAAAATGAGTTGATGATTAAGTATTAGAGCTTTATATATAAACTTATAGGTTGAGTTTTGTGTGATAATGAAGAAATATTTAAAAAAAATATAGACTTTCTTCAACTTATCGCGGGTTTATACAACTTCATATCATTAATTTATTTCATAATTCACAATTTAGTGCATAAGCATAAAAGTTAAATCGTACTATGTGCTATGAAACAGTTTAAACAACGATTTAATCCCTAACTCACAATTTAAGCCTCATTCAGAACCTCGTAATCGGTGGAAAAAATTTGTGGTTTTAATTATACTTATAATTAACACAAAACGATCATTCACAATGCCCAAAATTAACATAAAAAATTAAGGGAATTTGCTAAAAGATTGTCCATTTTTCTTAACCTGACATAAACAATATAAGTTGTATTTATTAATATAATATTTTTTTACAACCATTAAAATAATATTTATATAACCTTCACTGGCAAATCTTCAAACTTTTAGTTTTTGACATTAAATATCCGCGCACATGCGCAAAGCCGCTTTCCAATTATAATTAGTGATAAAAGTTAGAAGTTTGCAAACTTTTTTCACCAATTGAAAAGTACTACCACCACAGACCTACACTACCACTAATTTTTTGGTTGTGAACAACACTGTGTATATAAGACTGGGCCAAAAAAATCAACTATTTTTTTTTTGAAAAGTATATCGAAAATATGGTTTGGGGTGACAAAAAAACTTATTGTGAAAGTTTGAGTACATAATATTAACATTGACTCAATGATATTAATATTAAGAGGTCTATCATCGCAATTTTAGATTTTTTTTCCTAAGCGAGTTTTTGTCTCAGAACTTCCAAACCATTGAGTTTAACAAAATTTACTCAAAGATATTTTTTTAAGGAAATTTAATGATCTACAAAAAAGGTTAAAATTATATTTTCCGTCAGATAAATTCTTAAAATCATGAGTAGTTGTCAATTGCCATTAATTTTAATAATTTTAATATAAGATAAATACAAATTTGTTGTTTTATTAAAAAAAATCAAAAATTAAAACCAGATTTTTTTTTTTACTTAAAAAAAATTAAATTGTTATTTTCTTAAGTATTATGTAAAAACATAAAATATCTGAAGAAAAAAATAATAAAAATGGCTGTGTAAAAAATTTAAATAGCGTTTTTTTAACCTTTATTTTTAAAATCTGTTAAAAATTTTAATGGAAAGAAAATCGTGTTGAGCTATTTTTTTTTGTAAAGTAAGTATATCGAAAATATGGTTTGGGATGACAGACAAAAATTATGGTGAATGTTTGAGTCCATAATATTAATATTAAGAGGTCTATCATAGCAATTTTAGATTTTTTTTCCTGAGCGAGTTTTTGTCTCTGAACTCCCAAATCATTGAGTTTAACAAAATTGACTTAAAAATATTTTTTGAAGAAAATTGAATGCTCTACAAAAAAGGTTTGATTGGAATTTCCTTTCAGATGAACCGTTTTCTTACAATCATGCCTTAAAAATTGGTATAGTTTTACAATTTGGAATTTTGTAATTCATGTAAAAATCATTACCCGGAAAAAAAACCGATAGAAATTCTTATGGGAAATCAAATGCTCTACAAAAAAGTCTTCCAACATTTTTGGCTAAATTCACTACATCAAAAGTTATTCAAGGTTAAATTTGAAGTCAAAACGAAATTCTTGTTTTTTCCGCTTTGGTTTTTTTTTGGGTCAGTTAAAAAAATTTTTTAATCGATGATAATCTTTATGTTATTGATAAAATTATTGAAAATTAAAAAAATATGACACATTTGAATTTTTTTGCTTCATTTTCTAGAAAATATTATTTTCACTGTTTCCTATTTAATCATTTAAATAATAACAATCATGTTGTTTTATATTGGAAATTGTTAATTAGTTATATAATACATTTATAAAGAAAAAAATCAAATTATCATCCATAAAAAAATAAATCTACAGAGGAAAAAACAAGAATTTCGTTTTGACTTCAAATTTAACCTTGAATAAGTTTTGATTAAGTGAATTTAGCCAAAAATGTTAAGAGGCTTTTTTTGTAAAGCATTTGATTTCCCATAAGAATATTTATCGTTTTTTATGGGTACTGATTTTTACATGAATTACAAAATTACAAAGTTAAAAGATCAAAATGTAAAACTATACCAATTTTTAAGGCATGATTTTAAAGAAACGGTTCATCTGACGAAAAATTTCATTTAACTTTTTGTAGAGCATTCAATTTTCTTAAAAAAATATTTCTGAGTCAATTTTGTTAAACTCAATGGTTTGGGAGTTCTGAGACAAAAACTTGCGGAGGAAAAAAAAATTAAAATTGCGATGATAGACCTCTTAATAATAATATTATGGAGTCAAACTTTCACAATAATTTTTTTTTGTCACCCCAAACCATATTATTGATAAACTTTTCAAAAAAAAAAACCCTAGTAGCAATGGAATTGGACAAGATTCTTTGTCAATATACTTGGAGCACTTTGTAAAGAATTGGACAATTCTTGACCAAGACTCTTGATCAAAATTCTTTATCCAGACTGGTGGCAGACTTGGACAAGTCTGTGACCAGAATTTGACCAGATTCTTGGCCAAGAATTTTTACACGATTACACGTTAAATAGGAACTTTCAATTCAAGATTTTTGGTCAATACAAAATTTTGTTGAACTTCAAAAGTTAAGAATGTTACTAAAAACATTAATTTTCCACGATTTCTTTCCAGTAAATTCGGTTTTTATCCATAAATCTGGTAAACAATAGAATTAAAAACGAAACAAATTTTGAAAGAGTTAAAGTTTTTATTTTTCTATGTTAAAAAAAACCAGGTGCCCATAAAAATAAACATATATTTTATAATCTTTCATGTTCATAAAGAGTAAACTCTAGTTATGCATCAGAGCTGACACACACTTTTTTTTTTAATTTTTGATTTTTAGAAATAACAATTTTTATTTTTCAAAAAATCAATTTTTTTCTCAGCTAGAAGACGAATCCAATAAGCTTTTATTCGTATTTTCACATAAACAAAAAAACTATACTCATTTCCTACAGAGAACTCACTTTTTGACTAGTATACAATATTGTGAATGATACTACTGTAGAATGAGAACCTCTACTCTATAGGATAGTCCCAAAGTTTAGCAATAGATGGCCTCAGATTTCTGGTCAAATTCTGGCCACAGTCTGGCTCAAGTCTTGCCCAAGAATCTGGAACAATTCTTGTAGAATTCTTGAGCAAAAATCTGTCCAAAGTATCTTGTCCCATGCTGGGCCAAGACTTTTCCGGAACTGCTACTAGGGTAGTTGATTTTTTTGGCCCAGTCTAGTGTGTTATATAACTTACGTGATATCCGAAGGCTTGCGGCGAATTGTCGACGATGATGGTCTTGGAGAGGTCGCGGCCCAGGATGCTCAGGTCCTTGATGTAGTTGCCGTTGACGCAGACGCAGTGCTCGCGGAACAGCCGGTACTTGATCCACTTGCGCTCGTGGTCGAGCAGGTTGAGCAGCTTGTCGGCGTAGACGCGCTTCGACGCGGTGAACAGGATCACCTCGAACATCTGCGAGACGCGCTCCATGAACTCGCGAAAGAAGGGCCGCGTGCGCACGTACACCGTGTACGAGCACTCCTGGAAGAGGACGGGAAAGTGGAAGCTGGCGTCAGACAGTTCCTGCAAGCTGCAATGGACCAGCGTCTCGTCCAAATCGAGAACCTATCGAAACCTCTCAACTTAGCTTTCTTCTTCCAACATCTTTTTTTTTTTTTTTATTAAACAATATATTTTAGCAAGGCTCCAAGCGAATTTTTAAGTGCTTTTATAGGATTTTAGGACAAATCTAAGAAGAGAATTTAAATAATCTTAGAAGAGAATTTAACTAAGGTTTCGCGTAAAAATCGAACAAATTTTGGACTTGCTTTTACATCTAAATGGTGCATTTTTTTGAAAAAAAATTTCATCCATTGACCACTGTGGTTTTCAGGCCTCAAGTCACTCTACTATGTTAAAAATAGATAAATTTCGATATTTTGATAGATAAAATGTAGACCTTAGTAATAGCAATTCACGTATTATCTTTTTTAGATTTTAACATACGGGGGGCGCTGGGGACAATTTAATTTAAAATTTTACCATTTTTTAAGGGTTAAAAAGTCGAAGAAGCAACTTTGTTTTATAATTTTGAGTATATCCCGTTAAAGTACTGATAATTAACTATTATTTGATATATAAACTTCTACATGCAAATTATGTTTCTAGGAGAGACATCATTTTTAGTTAGGCCTTCAAAGGGCTTACTAACGTGTTTTACAAAGTATATATTCTTTAATCGAGTTTTATAAGATAATGTATTATATATATAACATACAATTCTTACATATTTATTTTAAAAAATCGCCATAGATGGAGCTAAAATTACTTTTATATATAAACTTTAAAAATTTCAAGTTTTCTAATTTTGGAAGCATAAAAGATAATAAGACAGTTAATTTATTAAAATGAATCAACTAAATAATAATTATAGAGAGTGTCAGCAAGTTAGAAATTATAACCTACTTTAATTTTATTTTTTGCTTCACAACCAAGCTTTAATTTATTTATCAAGTAGATAAGCAAGCTTCAATTTTAATTCCAAAATGAGGAAAGTAATATTTACCCAATAAATAAATTAGAATAAAGACTTTATTTTTATAAACGAGGTGCATACTATACTTTTTCTACAACAAATACTTAAAATGATTTAAATCAAAAATTTGTATAGAGCGCCATCTATGAAACAATAGGGGAATCTGTGCGTCACCGTCAAATGCCAAACTTTTATATTTTATAAACACAATTATGAAGGTTATAAATCGAAATGTATTTCTTGAAAATTGACAGTTTTTCACAGTGAAAGTAAAGAAAATGTTTTATGAGCACTTTACAGTGGAGTCCGTGCCGAATTTACGTTATAGTTTACTGCCGGCGAAATTGAAAGGTCAGTACAATGTTCATATAAACTTTTCAAATATTGGCGTTGAGAAACTATTCAATACTTTTGTATTTTTGTATGAAGATAATAAAATAATTTTCACATTTAGTATTGTTTTACAAGAAAGGCAATTTATTTTAACGGTTGTATGACATTTGACAACTGTCAACTAACTTAAAACTAACTTCAGCCCGTGATTAAAAACCTGTTGCTCAAGTGACTAAAGCGCCATAAAGCCACAACTTGTCAATGTATACAGGGTAATTAATGTTATATATTAAAATACTGAATACCTTTTGACATAAGGAGTAACGGAAAAATATTTTTCCAAAAATAAAGAAAAAATATGCATTAGAAGTTTTTTATATTTTTTGTGATACGCCACTGGTTACACACTTGGTTTATCTCTGCACACTTGTGTTCTGTGAGTGCATGAATACCAACCAACAAAGTAGCTGCGCGTTGCCAGATGTAAAAAATTGTTACTAAAAATTTTTATTGCAAAAAATAAATAAAAACTCAATAAATAAAAAAGTTGTATGCCCTTAAAGGTCTAATACCCTTCTGTATTTATTTACTCATCCAGCTATTAGCTTAAGCAAATTTAGTACCTATTTTAAAAATCCATAACCACAAAATTAATTTTTTCATCAGATTTTTCTTTCTGTTTACTCAGATGACATTGGGACCAATTCACAGGTTAAACTTTAAACATTTAATTTGTGTAAATAAATCCAAAAGCACTTCCCTTAGTTAAGATATTTACAATTTGAACACATAACCTAAAATTTGAAAGAAATGCACTAGATTCTGTCATAAAAGTTGGCAGATTTTGTTTGAATTTACCTTCAGTACAAAAATGACATAACCAACAATTAATAAAAACGCCAAATTGACAATTTGCATTGTTAATTTTGTCATTTTTGTAATAAGCTAAATTTAAACAATGTTTGTCAACTTTTTTGACAGATTTTGGAAACACTGTTGTTACCAACCATAACATAATAAATTAAATTAGGCAACCAGATTAGCCTAAAGTTCCTAATCGATCAGTGGCGTACTTTTTGGTAGGATAAAGGCTATTATAAATTATTTTTAGACTTTTTAATTTAGAAAAAAAAAGTTTCAGGTGCTTCTTTATGGACCCTAAGGAACAACCCATTTTAATATATAACATTAATTACCTAACACCCTTTATTTAAAAGGTCACTTAGTGTCATGGAAACATGTACGATAAAGGGCGGTGGCGGTGGCAGTAGAAAAACATTTTTAAAATTAAAATAAATTAATTTAATTTTGTAGTCTACTTACCAAACTAAATTCCGGACTGGACCTGGTTTTAAGTGGCAGTGCTGGGCATTTGGATCTCATTTCAACGGTCAAGGGCGGCAGGTGCTTGATAAACAAGTAAGGATCGAAAGCCTCCCAAGTATCCTGCACCTCAACATGCTCCGGCTGACGATCGAGCCTCTCCTCTTGTTGAGGCACACTCGCAATCAAGTCGTTACTATTTGTGGGATACAAAGTGGAATAATCATAGACCACACTTGCCATGCTGACGCTTTTCGCCATTTCTTCGTCCAGCAAGTTGTTAAACTCCTGCGTGTTCACGTTGTTCAGATCGTTTATGTCCAAGGTCAAGTCGGGGTAGTCGTTTTTCAGGTTCGCGTACTCGAAATACATGTTCTCGCAAATTTTGTCAGTGAACATTCCGTAGTTGTACTTGTCACAGGATTTTTTCTCGGTGACATGGAACTGCATTTTATCGAAAGAAACCACGGAGAACGAATCGTCTGGAGGGGTTGTTTCAGCGACAAGCGATGAGTACTCAATTTCCTTTGGAAGATCCGAATTTTCTAGCATGTCTTGTGGAGGGGTTTCATAAGAACTGCTGCAGCTGCTTTGGTAGGATTCGTAGCATTGGTTTGGCGTTGGGGTGGGTTCAGGTGCAATATTTGCGACATCCACATTATTTACATTTTCCACGATATTTACATTTTTAGCTTCGCATAGTTCAGGAACCACCTGCGCTTGGTAATTTTCTTTGCATTCTTCAGACACCTTGTTTACGGTTTTTTCCAACGCGAAATTCTTTTTATGACCTGTTTTGTACAAATTTAGTGGTTTAGCTGTTTTACAAGTCCATGAGGGTTTCGACAATGTTTTACCCAACTTTTTAGGCTTACCAGAACATTTTAAAAAGGTTTTAGGTTTTTTTTCACTTCTCAGCCACATTTTTCCAATCCATTTAGTTTACCTACTAAATAGACAAAACATTCATTAATAACCTTTGATAAGTTATTAATTAAAAATAATTCTAGAATTATGTATTTTTATAGTTAAATACATCTTTTGCCAAAACTAAAATTGTATATTATGTAAAGTTCATTTTTTTTATCTGGACTGCGGCAACGTTGCAAATTTAGGGTTTTGGTTGGTAAATACAGTCGTCAAGTTGGTCGCATTGATTAAAACAAACTAAGCTAGTTATAAATCTAATTGTGGTTATGTATAAATTATTGTAGGTTATATTGTGCAGTTGTCAAGTTGAGTTGTCGAAATTCGTAGTTAAAAATGCAATTAATTTGGCTTTGGTGGTGCTTGGATGAGTAAAATCATATAAAAAAAGTATTTAAATATAGGTTGCTTTACGGCCTAGAAGAGAAAGTATTCCTAGCGGATAATCTTCGTTTTGAAAAGAATTTATATAAAAGAAATTAAAATTTTTTGTGAACATTAATGTTGTCCAATGTGTGATGTAATATTTATAAAACCAAATTCTTTACTTTTTTACTTCAAAAATGTCCATAAGGCGATGTACTTTTTCTTCCATTGTGGCATTTGGCATAATTTCATCAAAATGAAGTTTTGCCCTCAAAAGGGCTTTTACATTCGAATTCGTTGCTATTATTTTTGGCATAATTATCTTTTTATTTATAATTGACAAGTAAATTATCAATAATAAATATTATTGTCAATTTGACAGTGTCAAAGTATTTAATTAAATTCTTTAGCAGAAATACCATTTTTAAATACTAAAATTACTAAGTCAAACTGGCATAAGCCAGATTTAAAAAAATGAACTGTATGTAATGATATATCAAATTTGATAAACTCCATTTTAGACACGAATTTAATTTAATTTTTTATTTATGAGTGTCTAGAAAAGTTTATAAACGAGGTGCATACTATACTTTTTCTACGAACAAATACTTATTATTATCTTAAAATGATTTAAATCAATTATTTGTATAGAGCGCCATCTATAAAACAAAAGGGAAATTTGTGTTACCGTAAAATGTCAAATTTTTATGTGTTATAAACACAGATTATAAAGGTTATAAATCGAAATGTATTTCATAAAAATGGATTAAAAACATTTTTTCACAGGCGGGTTTTAGCAGAATGATTAGAGGTGGGAGAATTATAATGTGCAATTTAATATTAGAAATTCTATATAAAATCGTAGTGTAAAATGACCTTAATTATATGGTTGACATTGTCACTGTCAGTGTTTTAGTTTTTATGTTAGTTTTAATTTGAGACATTCTTTTTTTGGGGAAAATTGGTGGCCCTAATACAGATTAATAACCGTTTTACTCTTTTGGAAAAAATAAACCTTATATTCTATCAGGGCTGTCAATTAACTGTCACATTTCAATTTTAAGGTTAATTTACCATAACCCAAACATAAAAATGGCCGCCGTTAGATTCTGTGATTTTTAGTATGGTCAAAACAAGATAAAACAGGGTTTGTTGTGTGGATTGTGATTATTACATATTCATTGAAATATCTCTAATTAAAAAATAATGTTAAAATTAATTATTATTAATATTAATAAGATAATTATTTTAACTTATTTCACCATCAACCTTGTATTAACTTATTTATTAAGTCGCAAGTTAAAAAAAAAATAACAAAAAAAAAGGTAGGTCTATTTGTCCCACACAAAAAAATGAACATTTCTCCAAACACTGACAGTGACTCTAAAAAAATAAAATTAAGGTCATTTCACAACATAGCCATGGAATTTCTACAAAAGTTTGTGTTGTCCCACCTCTAATCATTCTGCTAGAGCACACCTGTGATTGGCTACTTTATTTTATTAATAACTTATTAATGGTGTGTCTGAATAAAAAACTGACTTGACTTTTGAGACACCCAGTATAATGAATTATTTGACAAAAAAATCCTAATCCTAAAACTTTAACTTTAAACCAGGGTTGAAAAGTCTTGAATTTTATAGAAAGTCAGATTTTTAATTATTAAGATATAAATGCATACTAAATTTAAATAAAAAAAATATATTTAAGAAGATATTAAAGAAAAACCTTTAAGAAATATAACACTCTGTATCTAAAAGAAGAACTACTTTTATTTATCTATAACTCAGCTGGACATCTTAAAAAAACAGACCATTTTTAGATTTTATGTTTTGTTTAGTGTATGCCTATCTAAAGTGACTATTTTTGTCATTTTTTATTGATAAAAATGTCACTTTTTTGTTAACAAGTGAAAAAGACATTTTGCATCTTGCTTGTTTGTATAAAATTTAAATAGGTATAACATAAAACATCAAAGGTGTGTGCAAATGGAATGGCCATTAAAATAGTAAAAATATTCATGAAATTAACCTGTATCTAATAATAGATTATGGTTAGTAATTAAAAATAATGCTAGAATGATTCTATTAGGATTATATCTTTTATTTACAGTTCGCAAACGCAAAGTTTTATGTTGTAGGCAGCGTTGCCGCACTGAAATTATCAATTACCCACGCCACTATGACAGAATACCCGGTTTTACCCCCACTTTAACATGAAAATCCCCATAAAATTACCCGTCCGAATATAATGTTTAAAAAAAAAGAGGTCAAATTTTTATTAATAGTAAATAGGTATACCTATAGGTACCTATTAGCCTAATACTATTAGGTAGGAACTTTATTAATACATAGATATGCTTACTTTATTAATAAATAGTAGATGAACCTCCTCTCAGGGATTAAGTACTTTATTTTTTCCATAAATTAGAATTTAACATTTTGTTTGATGGTTCAAATCTGACAGGACCTCCTGCCTCTTGGACCCCCTCTTTTGTGTGTAATAATGCGGCGATTCTGTAGGTGTTCAATCTGTTTCTGTTATAAATAAAATACCCGTTGACTGTCAAATTAACGTCAAGGACATGCGCAATATAAAATAAAGACGTATAGCGCCATCTATTAGGTAACTGTATAAATCCAGTCAACAAAATGGTCAAAATGAACTTTCGTTTTCATTTTAATTTTCGCAGAAATAGCGTAGGTCGAATGGTTGAATTTTAATTTTAAAGTTTTATTTTTTGCTGTTGGTTCTACAATTTTTATTTTTGCAAATTTGGGTCAAAGGGTTAAAATCCCCGGTTTTACCCGTTTAATTATTTTACCCGGCACATACTCCAAAATACCCGAATTTTGGGTAAAATACCCGGCAACGGCAACGCTGGTTGTAGGCGGCTAAAAATATCGCTTTAAATTTTTTAACAAGTGAAAAATCTAAGGACAAGCCAAAATCGACCTTATTGATTTTATAGATGAGGCAAATAATCGCTTATTGGTAAACGTTCCCGCCTTGTCAAAAATTCTAAATAAACACCAAAACCCTTCGAGAATGACTTTAAAAAACTTGCACATCGTTTTTGCGTGAAAATAAAACAATTAGTAAACAATTTAATGTTTACAAACATCAAGCGGCTAAAACCAAATTTCACGAATAAGACACTTTTTGGGCATAATTATTCCCTCACACTTGCTCGGATCGCAAGGACAAACATAAAGAATCACTTACCACAGGTGCAAACACTTTTTTCAATCACTTACACACAAATTTAACATTTTTGAAGTTGTGATGCCAAATGAATACAAAGCACTTTATCAAAATGGCGTCCCACGCGTTTTTCTCTAATAAATTTTAGTTTGCGCATGATCAAAACGATCCAATCCATTGCTTCAGAAGTTGAGCAGCATTTTATGAAAGTAAATTAGAAATGCAAGGAATTTTCATGCAAAGCAATTTTGGCGCAAAAGCATCAACTTGCGGTGGTTATTTCTAGGTATAACAAATCAAAATAAAATATAGTGATGTTTTGTTTATTTTTTTTGATATTGGCTGCCCTGTTCTTTGACATTAAATTGACAAATCTGACAGTTGGCCCATTGCGGCATATTGTTCAAAATTAACTAAAAAAATCATTATTTTTATAAATAATGGCAGTTATTTATACCAGTGAAAATAACCCAGCAGGTTTAAAGCTCATCGTAGCCAAAAACCTCTCGAAAAAGGACGTAACTGTAATAATTTCTAACATAAATGGTTTGTTGAAACGTAACACGTGTTTGTTATTTTTTCAATTAAACTGGGACTATTTTAGATAAATCTTTAAAACAACCAAAACATTTGCCGTATTTGGAGTTGGATAATAATGTTTCATTATTCTCAACGAATGCAGCTGTACTGTATTTATTGTCGAGTAAAATTGATGATTTAGTAGTAAATGAATGGTTAGAATGGGAATCAAATATTCTTGCACCCAATCTAGCTCTAGTCATAGGAAGCAACATAAAAAAAAAAGATGTTAAGAATACACTAAGTGCTGCCTTAAAGAAATTAAATGAGTTCTTGAAGAATAAGAAGTATTTATGTGGTGTAAGTTGATTTACTTTTATTTTAGTACAACAAAATTTGATGGTCGATTTAATTGTTTTGTAGAATCAAATAACAGCTTGTGATATTTCCATTTGGTGCACTTTGTTTCCTCTTTATAAATTTGGAGGGAGTGAATCTTTTAAAGATCTCTTAATTAACCTTACAAGTGTTGATGGATGGTTTAATAACTTACTGAAAGAATCCAGTTTTGAGGTATCTCTTAAAGAATTTCCAATTAAAGATTGCCATTCACCATATAATGCTTTGTTGAGTGGCAGCAAATATCTGGTAGCTGGTGCACATGATAATGCTGCTTTAAAGTCAGAAAATAGTCAAGAGGAGGAAACTGTGAGTGAGGAAGATTTGGAAGCTGCCAGAAAAGCATTTTGTGAGTCTGGTGGATTTCCCAAGATCAAGCAACCCGGTAAAACAGTGTATGTGATTCTATTACCTAATTAATGCAGTTTGAGTTGGTTTTCGTTACTATTGTGAATTTTTTACAGATTACCAATCCCCAACGAAAAAAATGTCTTTATTACTTCCGCTCTTCCCTACGTCAACAACGTGCCGCATCTCGGCAACATAATCGGTTGCGTTTTGTCAGCTGATGTGTTTGCCCGATTCTCCCGGCTATGCAACCATAACACTCTCTACTTGTGTGGCACGGACGAATACGGAACTGCCACTGAAACGAAAGCCCTGGAAGAGAAACTGTCTTGCAAGGCCATCTGCGATAAGTACCACAAGATTCACAAGGAGACCTATGATTGGTTCAACATTAGTTTTGACTATTTCGGAAGAACATCAACACCTGAACAGACTGAGTAAGTAACTGTTTTATTTTTAATTATAGACATTTATTTTTCAATTTGCTAAATTGTTTTTTTATAATAGTATAGGAAGTCAAAATAAATTTATCCAATTTTTTTAATTTTCAATAGGTACTTTTTCATCAACTGCAACTTAACTTGAAAAATTAAAATTTATATTATTTAGTTTTAGTAGGTATTTAACTTATAACATTTTTTAGTGGGATGAATAATAATTTGATTTTTCTGAAAGTTTTGGACTGAAATTTTTTTTACAAAAATAATTATGGTCATTTTTTGTTCATTTGTCATAATATTGTTTTTTTCCGTAAATACGCTAAAGAAGTATCGCTAGTAGCGCCACTATTCGGCTATCATCGTAACAAAAGTACAACTTTTGATAATCAACAGTCAAACGCGTGAAATGTTAAAAAAAAACATCGGAAAAAAACCGTGGCTCGATTTGTTGCGTTGTTGGGTGTATTTCAAGAGAACATCGTAGGTTGAGTTTTTATCGGTTTTCCAATAAACAGTGTTAACTCGAATGAAGACATAAATTTCATACAGTCTCTGTAAATATAAATTGTACCTATTACATACAATAAATACACATTTTAGTAGTGATTAACGTGAAAAGTGTAAACATTTCAATTCAGTAAAAATCGTCAAACAAATAAGTCGTCTAAATTTAAACAGCATTTAGCATTGTTAAATATTATGTTGCCATGAATTCTTAGGTATATTTTGTTGTTTAAAATGCAGTTGTCGGCGTTTTTAGAGAACTCAAATATAAAAATGGTTGATTTTAAGGTTATGTTTGTGCAAAAAATATTTTTTACTAATTTCTTAAAAATGTTCAAACTTAAATATAAATTATATTAGGTAAAGTTATTATTAGTTAATTCTGCACCAACAAATGTACTTACCAAATTGGATCCTTTGGCAAAACATGAAAATGCAACGATTTAGTTCTTGAATTTTATATACACTAAAAATACAATAATTTACCATGATCCCTTAGATAAAATGCACACACTAACGTAACTATATAAGCATTTAAGCGTTGAGTTTCTTAATCAATGATATAAGAAATCGAAATCGAGTACTAAACCAGTTTTTTAGTTTTTTCCTTGCAACGTAAAACACAAATAACGTGCGCGATTTAGCTGTGCAATTGAACAAAATTTGTCGAGTAAGACTTCTGCCTTCCTCTCTTTTATGAAAAACCACCTATTTATTTAAAAATGATCGTATGCTTTAAATATATTGTTGACAATTCTTAAATTCACGCAATGCTTTTGAAGTCCACCAGATGGCGCGCGCGTTGCGAAAACCCGATACTTCTTTGGCGTATTATACTTATATGATTTATTATCTATGATTAGTTTTAATCTGTTTTGATTTTGTAGGTTATGTCAAAGTATGTTTTTAAAACTAAACGACAACGGTTTCATGTTCACGCAATCGGTGGAGCAACTGCATTGCTCGAATTGCGACCGTTTTCTGGCCGACAGATTTGTCGAGGGAGGATGCCCGAACATCGGGTGCACCTACGAAGACGCCAGGGGTGACCAGTGCGACGGATGCGGCAAATTGGTGAACGCCGTCGAGCTGAAGAATCCCAGGTGCAAAGTGTGCAGCCAAACGCCGAAATTGAAGACGTCCAACCAGTTCTTCATCGATTTGCCCAAGGTAAGATTTTATTTGCCGATTTTGTTCGATTACCGGATATTTTATTGGACAGGATATGAGAAGTAGTGATGTGAATAAGCATTAAAAATTTAATTGGGCATTTCCAGTGTAAGATTCAAAAAAGGAATCTGCTAATTGGTTATTCCCAATACTTTAAAATATGGAAAAATCCAATTAGGATTCTACTGTTTTTTAGCGGTTTCGATTGGATAAAGCTACCTATAGGTAATTTCCAATTGAATTCAATTGGGCATTCCCAGTGTAAGATTCGAAAAATCTGCTAATTGGTTATTTCCAATACAATACAAATATCGCAAGAGGGCTCTCGTGTAGCTGCGCAAAACCAACGAGGTTCAGACGCCATCATAAAGATAAAACAACACAAACAAGTCTTTGGACGCCATTTATTAGAGGTTTTTTTATTAGTCGATTTCTGTGTCTAGTGATAGTAGTGTACTTATATCTTAAGTAGTGTACTTATATCTTAAGAAAGGTTTAGGGCAGATGGCGTAAAAATGGTTGACACAGCGGACAAAAAAAACATTTGACATAAACAATATTGACTTTGACCATGCCTACAAACATACTTTGCAAGAAAGACGAAAAAATGATTATAGCCGAGTAATTTTATTTATTTTTTATTACTTTTTTTGTGATAGTAAGTTATATGCATATACATATATCACAAAAAAAATAATAAAGAAATAAAATTACTCAGTAACAATATTTTTTTTTTTTCTTCTGTGAAAAATGAATTCTGGTTTTTACCCGGTTATCCTTCTGGGATCCAAAATTATTTTTGAATGAAAAATAAACTGGTAGGTATTTTATAATCCAAATTTAAAAATATTAATTGGTTTTAATTGGTTGGGATGTGTTTGGCGCTATGAATTACCAATTCATTCCATGTGCATTTCTATTGGATTTAGCCAATAGAGACAAGCATAGGCATTAGGGTTGGGACAGTTGAAATTTTCAAATGAAAATTTCAACTTTGAAAGTTTCAAACTTGAAATATTTCATTTAGTTGGAAAAGTGAAATTTTACAAAATTTCAAATGAAATTTTCAATGCGAAAATTTCAACATTGCCAGTGAAACTTTCAGAAGTTTCATTGAAAGTTTCGCAATTTACTGAAAATTTCGGATAAATTTCACATGCGGCCTCCCCTGGGACCTTTAATAATAATTTACAAGAGATTCCGAATCAACCAATAAGAACGAGTTATCAGGCGTCTGGGCGTTTTTGTTTAGTTCGGCTTTTATTTGAATACACTATAAGTAATTATCGTTACTTATATGCATAAATTAATTTAAATAATTTAATTCAGTTACCAATTTAATTTGTAAATTAAATCAGACTTGAAAATTTTTTTTACTTTTGCTATAATTGCATCGGAAAACGGATGAAAAATGCCTTTGGCTTATAAAATTTTGATAAAATGATTTGTTTTAGAGATAATTTGTAAAGTATGGGTCAGTCCATATCAAATTTTCGAAATTTAATTTTTTTTTTTAAATTTAGGTCATGTGATATATCATAAAAAAGGTCTCTAATAGGCCTTTAAAATAAGCCACCACTCACATTTCTACTTTCTATTTTTGTAAGTACTTGCAAGACCCAAATTTATCGGAATTTTTTTGATTTTCAAAAATCAATAAAACAAAAGCCACTTATCGAAAAAAATTCATATATGGGATTTTTGAGTTTTTTAGTGAGGTAAACAAATTTACCAAAAATTATGAAAATCGGAGATGGTGGGGGAAGAACCTTTGGTTGATTTGATATGGACCCATACTTTACAAATTACTCTAAAACAAATCATTTTATCAAAATTTTATAAGAGACAAATTTTTTTTAACAATAAATGATTACCTGAAAAAATACCGTTTGGAAGTCATTGGCGCTTGTACTAAAAAATAGTCAGTGAGTACTGGACCCCCCTATTTTGATGATTTGACAATTGTTTTTTGTTTTGTTGGTATCCAAAAATGTAACTATTTATGTTGAAGTAGTGTACCGAATTTAAACTTAATATCTTATCAATTACTCGAATTATTAAAAAAAATCAGTTTTAAATTTCAAACTTTGTCGCCCTGTATATCGAACATAAAGCTCTAAATTGAAAAATGGTATTATGAAAGTCTTATTGTTTTAACTCAAGGAATATATGTTAACGGATTGACCTCCTTTTCCCGGACACCCTGTATATAATATATTACACTTAAAGTGATTGAGATTTATTGAAAGTTTCAATAAATTTCATGAAATTTATGAAATTTTAATAAATTAGATAAATGTCATGAAAATTTCAAGTACAAGCAAAAAATGAAATTTTCCCAATCCTAATGGGCATGGATTGGTATTTTCCAATCCAAGCCGCTGACTTCATTGGAACTTACCAATAGGAATGCAACGAATGAATTGGTGATTCATAGCACCAAAACACATTTCAAACCAATTACTTATTTTTTATTGGATTCTATTGGTCTTAACAATAGGGCAACTAAATTTGATTTTGTCTAAAATCAACATACTTACGTACATTTTAAATTTGCGCACGCAAATGGGTGTTACTTTGCGCACGCTAGTAGAAAAAATGCATTACATGTTTCTAACAATTCAATTCGATTGTTCAATAGTTGGAGCCTTTGTTGCGCCACTGGATTAAAATCTCGTCGCCGGGTTGGACGCACAACGCTCAAGTGATAGCGCAATCGTGGCTCAAAGAGGGGCTCAAGCCCAGATGCATAACTAGAGACCTAAAGTGGGGCGTGCCTGTACCTCTGGACGGCTTCAGAGACAAGGTGTTCTACGTCTGGTTCGACGCGCCCATAGGCTACATGTCCATGACCAAAGCCTACACCGAGGAGTACGAAAAGTGGTGGATACCCGGCGAAAAAACCGACGTCGAGCTGTACCAGTTCATGGCCAAAGACAACGTCCCCTTCCATTCGGTGCTCTTTCCCTCGATGCTGCTCGGCGCGAACAAAGGCTACTTGACCGTGTCGCATCTCATGGCCACCGAGTATCTCAACTACGAGGACGGTAAGTTCTCGAAGTCTCGAGGAGTGGGGGTTTTCGGCACCGACGTTCAGAACACCGGGATATCGAGCGACGTGTGGCGCTTCTATCTGCTCTACGTCAGGCCGGAATCGCAGGATTCCAGCTTCAGCTGGGCGGATCTGGCGACGAAAAACAACTCCGAGCTGCTCAACAATCTGGGCAACTTTGTCAATAGGTGAGTTGATGAACTTACTTTACCTCACTAACCAGCTGAACTAGTTTAAACGAGATTTTATCGGTCCAAGACACGGTCTTATATACAGGTCTTGCAACTTTAAGCTTCGAGGTGGCTTCCTTAACGTGCCAAGCCGCTAGGTGGCGCTAAGATCGAAGGGTGAAGTCAATTAAATGAACTACTTAGTTAAATGTGGAACTACTGCATAACCATAACCTAACTTTTTAAATTCTTTTTCTATGTTTTGTTTACATTTTCAAAAAATTAATATTTGTGAGTTTGTTTCGGATAATTTACGTTAACAAAATAGGACAACAAAGTCTATACTCTATGCACAAAGTCCTCGGCCGTCACATGCCCAGACCAAACATGTAAGTAAAACATGTTAATGTATAAAATACATACGTATATCATATATATGTTATGGCTAATGTGTAAACATGGATAGTTTATAAAGTAGCTGGGTAGTTTATAAACTAGCCAAACTGTCAGCTATTTTAATCTAATTAATAAGTAAAAACTCCCTGTAACAAAATACACAAGCTTGTTTATAAAAATGTAGGTTATGTTTCTTAACACAGAAAATAAGTAGGTAGTTCATTTGACCTTTTATCCCATAGACTTTAAGGACTTAGAGCCGGTTTTACAATCGTTAGATTAAGTTAGCTTATTTGGCGGATAACTTTCATAGAAACCTTCTATCTAAGAAAATTATCCACCAGAGAGCTTATCTAACGATTGTAAAACCCAAAGATAAAGAAGGTAAAAACGACCTTTAAACATCCATGGTTTATCCATCCAACTCGATGCGCCATCTGGTGGGTGTCTCATTAGAGAGGTCACTTTTCCTATTGAAATTGGGCGAAGTTGCAAGACCTGTATATAAGACCGTGGTCCAAGACTTTTGTGACATTTAACAGAATGCTCGACAGAATGTTAACTACGGTTTCGCGAAAGGATCGAACGGTCGATTTGCAAGGGTTCAAGAAATATTTCTACATGTAAATGCAGTACTTAAAAAAAAATCTCGTCTATTGACAACTTTGTTTTTATTTTTTTCTTCACTGTTTTAAAAATTAAGAAATTTAATTTTTTTTAAATAACTTTTTTATTTTAAAAGGTATCGATTGTAAATTTGGACAACATGTAGATCTTACTAATGACAATTAATCCAAGAAAAAAATTGGTTTAGATTTTAACGTACAGGGGGCGCTGGTGATAATTTAGTTTAAAATTTAATAATTTTTAAAGGGTAAATAATCGGAGAAGCAACTTTGTTTTATAAATTTGAGTATAACACGTTTAAGTATTGATATTTTACTATTATTTGATATATTAACTTTTTTATGCAAATGATGTTTCTGTGGCCAGGATCAGTTTTAAATTAGCAGTAGCAGTATTCATAAATGTTTAGTTTAGTACATTTTGTCATATTTATACAAATATTGTTGAATCTTTTATTAATAATTAAGTATAGCATAACACATAAATGACGTTTAATATACAGGGTGTTTCACGTACGTAGTCCGTTAGAAGTTTTTAGGGAATCGTGAAAGACACCGATTTAAAATTTTAACAGCGTAAATTATTCGATTTAGACTTTTTTCCTAAATTATTTTTAACAAAATAATACTTCCTGTTTTACCGGAAACTTTGTTATTTTAAACAAGACACCTCATATATTTTTACATTTTTTAATCCTACATAAAATTCTGAGTAAAATGGCTAACCATATCCTATACCTAAGTCATTTCTTGAGTTATTAATTTTTTAATAAAATATTTTAAGTTATCTTAAACAATTACAGATTTGGTGGTAACCATTAAACCACATGAAGAAATGCACAGGTTTTTGGATACAAAATAATATTAAAAATATTAGAAATTGTTAAAGTCTCTGAAATTTTAACTTAAGGAAACAGTTATTATAATACCAATTGAAAGATTCTTTAATTTTCTTTTTGATTATGTTAAAACATACAGGGTTTTACATTTATAATAAAAACGTTATTGTATTGTTTAAAGTTTGCCTAATTTCAAGTGTTTTTTCTCAAGGTATTTGTTAAAAAACCTTTAAAAATTAAATTATTTATACAATGTTCCAAAAATTCCAACCCCATGTCAGCAAACATAATAACAACAAAATTGGAGGTTATTTTTGATTAAGGTGCATTTAGCAAAATTTTAACGAAAAAAAATAATATTACCTAATATAATTGTATTTGCTATTAAAATTTCAAATCCATATCGTTTGCGTTTCTTCAGAAACACCCTGTATAGCATTATATTAAATATAAAAAATGCAATATAACTAATTACAAAAAATCGAAAAACAACTAAATAAAATATATACATATATCTAAATAGCCGATTGCAACATAAAAAATAAAGTCTTTATTCTAATTTATTTATTTATTGGGTAAATATTACTTTCCTCAGTTTGGAATTAAAATTGAAGCTTGCTTATTGAGTAAAAAATAAATAGAAGTTGCTGACACTGTCTATAATTATTATTTAGTTTAATCAGTTTAAAAATTAATGTTTTGAGTTTATAGTACACTTATAAATTGAAACTTATAAACTGAACTGTCAAATTATCTTTCATGCGCCCAATGGTAGGTTACCATAGAGAAAAGTCTATGATGCCTACTATGATAATATATAATACATTATCTTATAATACTAGATAAAAGAATATATAATTTGTAAACACGTTAGTATTATGCTCTTTGAAGCTTTGAACTTAAAAATGGTGTCTCTTGAAGAAACATAATTTGCATGTAGAAGTTTATATATCAAATAATAGTTAATTATCAGTACTTTAACTTGATATACTCAAAATTATAAAACAACGTGGCTTCTTCGACTTTTTAACCCTTAAAAAATGGTAAAATTTTAAATTAAATTGTCCTCAGCGCCCCCTTTATGTTAAAATCTAAAAAAAAAATACGAGGATTTATTGAACTAATAATCTTAATTTCAAAGTGTTATTACAAAATATTGAAATGTATCTATTTTTAACACAGTAGAGTGACTTAAGGCCTGAAAACCACAGCGGTCATTGGATGAAATTTTTTTTTCTACAAGGTTAAAAAAATATATTCAATTCTAGCATCAATTGCAAGTTTCTGAACCGGAGTAAAAGTAATTTTACTGCCGCTTGAAGATAAAAATACCAAAATTGATTTTAAATTAATTAAATAAATAAATAAAGACAAATACAAATAGGGTTTATTTATTTATTGATGTACTTTTAGGTCGTTGGTGTTCGCCAAAAACAACTTTGGAGGTGTAGTGCCGAAAATGGAATTATTGACAGAAGATTTAACTCTGTTAGCTCACTGCACCAAAGAATTTAAAGCTTACGTTTCCGCTTTGGAGAAATGCAAATTAAGAGATGGAATTAGACATATTCTTTCCATTTCCAAGTTTGGTAATCAGTATATGCAATCCAACCAACCTTGGGTTTTGGTTAAGGGAACTGATGAACAAAAGTAAAATATGCATATTTATTTGTTTGTTTATTTTATGAATTTTATTTTTCCAGATTAAGAGCTGGTACTGTGATAGGTCTCTGCACGAACATTGTTGCCCTTTTGGAGATGCTACTCAGACCTTACATGCCCGAAACCAGTGCCAACCTTAAGAAACAACTGAACACCACTGACCTAGCCATAGACCTAAAGTGAGTAGTGCTAAGGGTTTTTGTGATTCACTGGTTTTGTGTTTCGTGTTTTGTGTTTCTAGGGAGGTCCGGATTGTTCAACTAACGCCCTCTGGTCATAAAATCGGCGAACCTTCGCCACTTTTTGCCAAAATCGAACCGGCTCGTATTGAGGAGTTGCAAAAAATGTTTGCTGGAACGCAAGCCGAAAGAAAAAATGGAGTGCCCGCTGAATTGGAAGCGGAAGTTCAAAAACAAGTAAGTCATTATTAATATATGTAGATATAAGTAAATTTTTGTCGCCCCCCCAAACAAAATATTGATGTACTATGCTCCACACCTCAAAAGTCCCACCACGTGAATATTAGAATATTAGAATAACAATGGATGGTTTAAAAATTTAAGAATATAAATACTGCATTTAATGAAATTCTAAAGTGTATGGTGCCAAATAAGTAATATTTTTGTGCATTTGGTCCAAATATCTGGTTTTCTCCATAAAATAATTTTAACTAAACAGCATTTATTTAAAAAAATCTAGCTTCTGTATTATGAAATAAGAATATCTGTTTTAAAGGTAGGTTAATATATTATAACAAAAATATCATCTAATTTTGTAATTTTAAGGTTAGAAAAATTTATTTTTACCAAAATAAATAGGTATTTTGGATTATTTAAAAGACTGTATAATATGGTATTTAAAAATGTGGTAGTTTTTCTTATCCAGCTTAAAGTGTACCTACATAAAGTTTTGTCAATACAAATAGTTAAAAAGCTTTGACTGAATTAGATCTACATCAAATAATCATTATAACTTTAAAAAATTTAATAAATCACATGTCATGGGAGTATTAAATATTTTCACATTGCAAGTTTCTCTAAAAATTGTTTGTTTTCTTATAATCTAACTTAAAGTAGGTATGCCGAGAGGTATGCACAAGTTTTGTCATTAGAAGTATAAAAGCTTCAATTTAATTTGAACTATATTCAACAATTATTTAGTATACCTATATTTATTATGACCATATTAACACACTCTTTCAAATAATCCACTTATTTATTTGACCATGTTAACACACTCTTTCAAATAATCCACTTATTTATTTTGGTCAAAATAGATTTTTCTAACCTTAAAATACAAAATTAGATGATATTTTTTGTTCTAATACATAAACATACCTTTGATACAGATATTCTTATTTCATAATAGAGAAGTTAGATTTTTTTAAATAAATGTTGTTTAGTTAAAACTATTTTATGGAGAAATGTAGACCCAATGCACAAAAATATCACTTATATTGCACCTTACACTTTGGAATTTCATTAAATGCAGTATTTATATTCGTAAATTCTTAAACCAACCATTGTTATTGTGATACTATAAAGATTTATTAAGTATTAAAGCTTAAACATAGGCGGTAACACTATAAATATTATTTCTTTCATTGATTATACCTACTTTGACAGATACATAACCTGAAAAGCCTTAAATGCCAAATTTTCAAAAGACTGCGTTCCGTACGTGGTCACGTGGTGGGACTTTGGTGGAGCATAGTACATATTGAGAAAAAAATGTCCTTACAGTTTCAGCCCTTGATCTTACCCCTAAGCAATTTTATATTGATTTTAAAGTTTTTCCATCAAAATAAATTAAGGATTCTTTTCAATTTTCTCTATCTTGGCGACATTTTAGGCTACTAAAAAATAATAAATAATGTATCAAACTTAACACTTAAAACTTGTATTTAGGCTGACAAAGTAAGACAGTTGAAGTCTAGTGGAGCTGCTAAAACATTGTGGGCGCCGGAAGTGCAGATTTTGTTGGATTTAAAGAAAAAATTGGAGGAGTGCAAGAAAAAAAAGCCAAATGATGAAGGCGATGTTCCTCTGTCGGGAACAGCCGAAAAATTGGAAGATGAAGTTGCCAAACAAGTAAAATTATTCCCTCAGATTGATAGTAAAGTAGTAGTATTGATTGTAATTTTTAGGGTGCTAAAGTTAGATCTCTCAAAAGCGGAGGTGCCGAAAAATCCGCATGGCAGCCGGAAGTTAGCGTTCTTTTAAGTTTGAAGAAGAAATTAGAGGGTCTTCAAAAAGTGCTTGCTGCTTCTCCGAAATCCGATGCGCAGCCGAATGGGAAAAATGAGGCGGAAATAAAACGTTTAGAAGATGAAGTTGCTAAACAGGTAAGAATATAATATATATGCATTCAATCTATAAGTACCAACATAATTTTGAGGGTGTGGTGGGTTTAAGTTAAACTTTAACGGAACACTAACTTTTCTGCCTCAAATTTTTGATTTTCTACATCGAAAATGGTGTTTTAGTCATTTTTTTATTACGCTTCTTAAAGAAAACGATACAGAACGAATAATAAATAGTATATTATGTATCAAGTTTTATAAACGCCATTTTAGTTACGAGTTTTATTAGGCACGAGCGAGTAATTAATAAAAACGAGGGTCTAGAGAAGTTTATAAAACGAGTTGCAAACTATACTTTATCAAAGCCAATTTCGTTTGTTAAACATTTGACATATGTCAACTGTCAACGGATTTAACCCCACTTTTTGAGTTTCATTCGTTTTTAATTATTTTGAATTGTGTTTTGGTTTAAATTGTTTAAAATTAGTTATATTAAACTGTAAATTTAAAAAGTTAAGTTATTATGTTTTTTTAATCGAATCTTATTAGTTTTTTGTTTCTATTGGTCTAAATTAAAGAATATTAAACTGAGATTGCAATTGGTTGTAATCGACGTTTAATTTCAATTGGGTTGAAAATTCCAATCGGAAAATAATTTTTACACTATTGAACACTATTCAATCAGTTTTAATCGACGTTCGTTTTTTTGTTAACGCACTTGGAAAATGTTATTAATCAACTTTTTATTATATATATATGGCTGTATATCCTCGTGGTTCGAAGGAAAAATAGCGACCAATATTTTGTCGGCAGCTGTCATTTTGACAACCTTCGGTTTGAAAACTGTCATTTTTACAGCTGTCATTTTAACAGAGGTCATTTCGAACTTGCAATTTTGACAGTTGCCATTTTGACACCCTTTATTTCAGCAACTGTCATTTTGACAGCTGTCATTTGGACAGCTGTCAAAATGACAGCTGTCATTTAGACACGTGTCATTTTAATAACTGCCATTTTGTCACCTGACATTTTAACAGCTGGCATCAAATTGGCACCTGTCATTTTGACAGCTGTCATTTTGACAGCTGTCATTTTGACAGCTGTCATTTTAACAGAAGTCATTTCGCCACTTGCAATTTTGACATCTATTATTTCGCCACAGCCCTTTGGACAGCTGTCATTTTGACAACTGTCATGTTGACAACTGTCATTTTGACAACTGCTTTTTTTACAGCCGTCATTTTGACACTTGTTATTTTGACATCTGTCATTTTGGCAGCTGTCATTTTGACCACTGCCATTTTGTCACCTGTCATTCAGACAGCCGTCATTTTGACACCTGTGATTTTGATACATATCATTTTAACGGATGTCATTTCTTCACATGCAATTTTAACCTGTGTTTTTGAAATCTGTCATTTTAGCACATGTTATTTTGACAGCTGTCATTGTAACAGAAGTCATTTCGGTACCTGCAATTTTGACAGCTGACATTTTATACCAATTAACAAAATCGATCATCGGTTAAAACGAACTGAAATTTTAGTTCAATGGTAAAATAGTTATTTTTAATGCAAGATTACAAAATGCCACTTTTGTTTTTTTATAGAGCAAAAAAAACATTTGACAATTCCAAAGAAATCGAGTAACAAACAACATTTTTTAGAAAATTATCCCACAGTTTAAAAATTACTAAAAATGTGAACGGATGTAAAAGCATTTTTTCGCTTGTAACATGCAGTAAGTTGCACTTTTCCACACGCTTACTCTTCGCACGCTCGACTGCGGAAAGTAGCAGCTTTCCGCACTAGTCGGGTAAATATCTATTGCATACATATCAACGGATCTAGATACTTACTTTCAGTAGATTTTTTTATTCTAATTAGGGAAATTATCCACACCACCAAAATGCTATCAGTCAATTTTTTATACTTTATATAATACCAAAAATAATAAATTGTATTATTTTTAGGCTTTAAAAGTAAGAACTCTTAAAGAAAGCAAAGCAGAAAAGTCAGTGTGGCAACCTGAAGTTGAACTTCTTCTCAAGCTGAAACAACAACTTACCGCGGCTGGTGGAGCCCCAGCGGCGCCTCCAGCAAAGGGTAAAAAGGGTAAATAAATGTATTGAAAAAAAAAAGTTGGGTAATAATTTACTGCTGATAACAGTATTTAAGTGAAAGCCAATAATTAAATCTAATTATTTATTTACTATTAATTATAATTTTACACAAGAAAATAAATATAGTAAGATTTTATATGTGGTTTTTTTCGGCGTTTTATAAAAAATAAATTATTGGTAGGTATCTACAACCATTCACAACCCTTATTATTTTAATTACAGATAATAACATGCTTACATTTTTTTGTGATGAGGTTTACATTTGAATAAATTTAAAAGGCACAATATTTATCTTCCAAAAAATTTCAGTAGATTCATCATAGTTTGACTAGTGTACGGGCAGTACTTGTAGATTTTAAGGCATTGTGTTGCACTGCCCACTTGATATCCGTTTTTGAACGCTTCCAATAGTTGCTTGCTTGCCCACGTGTCTTTCTGAGCTGAATAACTAGAAATAAAAATAACGTTTCTTGCAGTTTTATTTTATTAAACATATTATGTTTATATAGGGGCATTTCCATTTCAAATTGACCAGGCAAAAAGGGGTAGGTCGTTATTTTTCAACGATTTAGGAAATTTTTGAAAAATGGACAGAAACATCAATGTTTCGATCATGACTTTTTTTTAAATTGTAGGTAAATGTTTACTACATTCAAAAAAATATAATAAATTAAGTAATTTTATTAAATTTTTTTATTGTTTTTTCTAAAAAAGGCAACAAAAATCGAGGTCAATTTTTTTTTACTAAATTCGTCGTTTCGGAATTATTTTTTTTAATGAAAATGCCATTTTCTAGTAAATTCGTGGTTCATCGCAAAAATTTGGTATTTTATCTATGGTCATGAAACTGGGGTGACCTTTTAAAGTGTAATTTAGAACTATTGACATATTTAACATATTTCTGTCATTCCCAGTTTTACCGGAAATGGTCATAACTTTTTATTTTTTAATTAAACACCCTATGCATTTTTACATATTTCGATTCAAAATAAAATTCTGAATACATACACATGTCATTTGTCAATTTTTGACAGGTCAAATCATATTTGATTAAATTTTATTTTTATATCTAGTGTGCCTTGAATTGGCTTTTCTGCTTCATGTTGGGCCAAGTAGTCTGGAAAAAATACAATTTTATTCTTTTTTGCAATGCTTTCAAAAATTGAAAAACCATACTTATGCCAAAACAACTTTTTTTTAATAAAAGAAATCCACTTTTTTTAAATTTTATACCAAATTTTAATGCATTTTTTAATAATATCGCTTTCAAACTCTTAATTAAATTTGAATGTTTATTAGGTTTTAAACTGTGCACAGAAGTAAATAAATTAAGAAGGATTTGAAACCTTTGTGTTTAAAAGAAGTATCAGATTTGACAGTTCATCAGTTTGTTTTGCTGGTAAGTGAATATTAACATTTTATTTTACTATAAAAACATACGCTAAAACTTTTTATAAAATAAAATAAAATTAAGTGGTTAAAATCAAAGGGGTGTAAGTAAATGTTCAACATTTTTTGGTTTTAAAACTTCTAAATAAATTCATTCAAATATTTTGAAACGATTATAAAAAATTATATCTAACCGCCCTCAAAAATTGACATTTTTTATCAGGAAAATTTTGAGTTAGATGGGTAGTTAATACCTGTAACCATCCTGTATTGAAAAAAATATATATAAAATACGTATATTTTGTCTTGTACATCAGTTTAAACTTGACGCTTTCAGTTGAAGGTACTTTACACGCGATCGCTGCGGAAAATTGTTTATTGTTTAAAAGTGAATAACTTGTGTTTGGTGTGTCCGATTATTATGCGGTTTGATGAAGGGTGATCTTCAAGGTATGTAAAATTCAGATATGTATATGTTTTTTGTAGATTTTGCTTGTACAGCGCAATATTGTAACCGACAAGATCGGTCTGTTAAAATCGCAAACTTTGAATCGAGCTTTTAGAACAATGGAGCTACAAAAATTGTAATGAATTGTAAGGCATCAGTTTAAAATCCGTTGAATAGCTTAGAGTTTTGTCTATCAAGCCATCAATAAATTATCTGCCCCAACTCGCCCCCGGCTCTTTAAAACTACATGTTCTTGGGCGCTCAGGCACGGTTGTGGTAAAAAACCTCGCGATTTTAAGCCTATGTCGCGCGCGTATCTGTGTTTTTGCTTTACAAAATATAAGATTTTTTTTTATTTCTGGGTTGCGTTCATGACGTTTACTCGATTCACTCGGATTTAACTCAAAACGTTTATTACAACAGTGGTGTCTAGACTTTCACTTGCGTAAATCGTTCGTGTCTCCTCTTGTAAGTGCATTAAAAAAACTCCGCATGCGCATTGTAGTGTGTTAATGTCAAATTTAAATTATGGTTATTTGTGTTGACATTTTTTTTAGCGAATCCAGTGACGGAGATTGTTTAATTTATATGTAGGTATTAAATAATATCATATAAATGTAATTATAATAAACTAAATTAAGCTACTTTATAAAAAAATCTTTTATTTACATTTTAAAAAGAACCTCTTACGAGTTTTTAATTAATTTTGACAATTTTTTGATAAAAATGTCCGCCATTTGAGGTCCACTATTTTGAATTTTGGAATTCTGAATCCAGATTCATTATCATCGACCACAAAAACCCTTGTAAGGTGATTTTCAATTTATTCCGTCAATTTTTTGACAAATATGTCCGCCATTTTGGATCTACCATTTTGAATTTTGGAATTCTGATTTCAGATTCGTTATCAGCGACCCCAAAAACCCCTGTATGGTGATTTTTAATTTATTCCGTCAATTTTTTGACAAATATGTCCGCCATTTTGGATCTACAATTTTGAATTTTGGAATTCTGATTCCATATTCGTTATCAGCGACCCCAAAAACCTCTACATACGGATTTTTATGAGAATCCGACTACTCCTTGATATTTTGCCGAAAATTTCGAGAATTGAAACACTGTGCGCCATTGTAAGAAATCTCTAGCAATTTTCATATTATCAACTTCAAACGAAAAAAATGTGGCAATGTCAAAATTTTGACCTCAATCTTTTTTCGGATTTACAAAATTCTGCCCAAATAAATACTTTAGAAATTTATTTTATAAAAAAAAATGTTTGCAAAAATTTATTGGAAATAATATTGTTTAATACAGGAGTGAACAGTTAGTTAGTAAGTTTTGTCTTTCATGATAGGTACCTATAGGTAAAACTTAAAGCTTAAAAATATAGATTTTTAAAAATTTTAGGTTTACATTTATAAATATAAAATATTTTCAACTATAGTTAGTAAAATTTTTAAAAATCTATATTTTTAAGCTTTAAGTTTTACAGTTGTTTCTACCTATTTTGTATTTAAAATATTGTTTGACAATCAATTGTTTTGAGTTTAAAAAAAATATTAACTTTGTAAATTTCTGTTAAAACATCATTAAAGTGCTAAACTTTAATCTTCAAACTATTATCTAATAAATGCTAAAACAGCGTGCCATATAGGTATGTAATTGCAAAATGAAAGTTTACCTTGTCATTTCCAATATATTCCTCTCCTCCTTCCCCAATTTGCCCTCCTCCTGCGCAGCAAGCTGGCAGATAAAGCTTCGTGCGCAGCTAGCTGGATCCCTGGACAACACCAGCTCCCAGTTGATCTCAGGCGGCGGCGGATTCGCGGTGAGCGATCTCTTGAACAATTTCTGTTCGTCTTCCTGATTGGCGCTGGCCAAGCCGAAGGTGTGGCCGAGTTTGCCGATGTTCTGGCCCAGGTTGTGGCTGATTTTGTCGTAATCCTGCGCCAAAGTGTGCACCATCCACAGCCCAGCCAAACCAAGGCCGGCTAGGATTATCAATCTGACGAAATGGTGGGCTTTCGAACAGCCTATCAGGACGGAGAAGAAGAGCACTTGCAACCATCTATTCATCTGTGTTAAGATTATAATCATGTTATCTATACATATTAGGGTGGCCCAAAAAAATAAGAATATTTTTTTTCTCTTGTCTCTTGTGAAAATATGTTGGTTTGTCATGTTTTAATTTTTTAGGGGTCGCTCAAGATTTTTAAAAAATTCCAAATTTTTTTTTATTTTAATTTTTTTTCTCGTTTCGATATTATTTTTTAATTTAAAAATAATAATGATTCTGAAAATTTCAAATGGATATTTTGATTTCTAAAGGTCGCTCAAGAATTTTTTAACTTACAAAGTAGAGTATTTTGAATGTTTTCGAACGACCTCTGAATATAAATACCAACGAACTTTTGATTTGATATTTTCAAAATTTTTATTATTTTTTACCAAAAAAATAATATCGAGACAAAAAAAAAATTAAAATAAAACAAAAATTCTATTTTTGACGATTTTGAAAATTTTAAAAAATCTTGAGCGACCCCTAAAATTTTTTTAATCGAGCTGATATTTTGACAGGGCTCTTACAGCATGATAAACTAACATATTTTTACAAGAGGCGATAAAAAAAAGATATTCTTTTTTTTTGGGGCACCCTAATACATATAGATATATATCTTTTTTGTGTGCTGTTTGTATATTTAAAAATGATTGTAATTTGAGCGATCCTTCTATTTGTAGTTTATTAATAATAAATAATTTAAACTACAGGGTGTTAAAAGTAAGGAAAACAAAATCTATTCAAGACATTTTAAACAGCATGTTTTTAGTTCAAATCCCAAAATTTACTAATTACACTAGTTTACAAAATCGAAAAGAAATTCTGCCCACCCCCACACGGAACAATTACATCCAATGGATATCCAATGGATTTCTTTTATGGATATCCAGGATATACATAGGATATCCGGGATATCCAATGGATAACCATTGGATATATAAATGTCCGACCCTCCTGGACATAGTGTGGATATCCAATGGATACCCAGTGGATATAGTATTGTATGTAATCTGTATTCAATATGGAGATTGTATGGATATCCAATGGATAACCATTGGATATATAAATGTCCGACCCTCCTGGACATAGTGTGGATATCCAATGGATACCCAGTGGATATAGTATTGTATGCAATATGGTTGTCATCTGTATTGGATATGGTGAATCAATGGATATTTACTTTTCAATAAATAACATTGGGTTTTAAATATTTATTTTTATGAAAACATAAAATA